TTAGATTATATTAAACAATTTTTGAAATAATGCAGATTAATTTTAAACCTTTGTTTGTAAAAACAAACTGGACTTAAAATTTAAACAGTTGATATTTTAATTCATGTTTGCTTCCATCAGCACAACTATTGATCCGGAAACATTTTTAACTATTGCCTCTATGTTAAAACCTGCCCACGTCATACTCATACACTGTCTGCTGCTCTCTTACTAGAGAGCCCTTCTCCTGACACCCTATGGCTCTGTGTGAGACTGTGTCTCCCCATGTCAAGAGCTTGAAGCCAGGTCCATGTGGGATTTGAATATGGGCTTCCCTTTGGACCTGCCTCTTGGGGTTGCAGAATGGGCACCCAGAGCCATTAGTTTAACATCAAGATAGCATGAAAAATCAGCATACCCAGAAATCGAGGAGGGTGTGCACTGGAACCAGTGCTCTCTAAAGCCTGCTGTATTTTCATGAGGACAACAGGGCAGGATGGAAGTTGTGCCATCTTTACATCCTAGAGCTAAGGGCCTAGGGCTCAGTGACTGGTAGACTCATGAAGGGATTCCAAGGGCTATTCCACCCTCCTCCTGATGCCACATTAAGTTGCTCCAAGTGGAAAAAAATTGGATCCTCTTAGAAATGGCCTGCAGAGGGCCCCAACATTCATATTCCAGCCAGGAGCTTCTTAGCATTAGAGAGACATGCTGTGGTTGCCCAGGTCATACCCCTCATTAGTGGGAACAGCAGGACTTTGGCTCAGTCTGGGGAAAGTGCCGCAGCTTTGAGGTCAGATGGACCTCAAAGGTTCAAATTGTGATCCACCTAGCAGATGGGAGGACCTGAGAAACTGCTGGCTCATTTCCTCTACAATAAAATAAACAGCATACAGTAGGAATGACTGGCTGCCCACCACAGACACACACTGCTCCCACCAGCCAGATGGCCTACCAGTCAAGGATGGCAGGCCCTCAAGCAGATTACAACTGTAACCCTAGGCAGCTTCAGCTAACATTTTTCCAGAACCAGACACACCCACCTGTTGGCACGGCCTCTAACTATGGCCTGATGGGCAGATGGTACAGAGCCCACAGGCTCACAGAACTAAACTCCTTATTATCTGGCTGTTTGCTAACCCTGCCCTTGAGAGAGGGCAAAGGCTGCAGACAGGAGAAGAACCTTCATTGTGATAACAGCAAAACTTAGGACAATTTTTTTAAGTGAGTAAATGGCTTTACAGCAGGATGTCTGCTGCAAGGCTGCAACAGGATACTGTCAGTGCCCATAGCCTATTAAAACATGTGACGTGGCCCATTCCTGGCCCTGAGCTACTCACTAGCTCCATGGAGAGGACAACAGACCTCAAAATAATCCCCTTATAGGGAAGGAGTCACTGTCAGGTGACCAGGGGGGCATTTGCTGTTGGGTAACCAGTGAGGGGAGGCATGACCCAGTAACTTCACAGAGGAATATATAGCAGGAGTGATGGACCCACCTCACATGGGGCAGAGCATCAGAAAGGTCTGGGAGAAGATCACACAGAGGTTGTAAGCTGTAAGCATCCTGTGATGAGAGGCAGGGAGGCAGGGGGATGTTTCGGGTATAGCAATATGGATAATAGCAGCCACCAGAAGGACACAAACCTTGGGGACCGCTGCTGGCAGGTTCAGACCCTGACCATTCCCCTAGAAGGTACTGCTGGGATTCCAGGAGACTAGATGGGGTGTGGCAGGGTTTAGATCTGCAGTGGCTGGAGTTCTGCCAACAGCAAGCCCAACCTTAAAGTCCATCTTTAGTCCCCTGCAGCCACACAGGTTTCTTGGGGACCAATGGGCCCATTGTCACCAGCATAGAATCCACACTCTGGGTCAGATAGAGCAATGGTTTCCATCTGGCTGAGTAGCCAGCTCACAGGCTAGACAGTGAGAGAAGGAACAGGAAGAAGCTGAGTTGCTGGGATGCCAATTTCAAGGGCAGGCTCTAGTGGCCCTGGGAGCTCTGCCCAGTCTTTGAGGATGGAAATCTGTTTAGAAGTCAACCACGGAGAAGCAGAGCAGGTGGGTCAGTGGCTAGCCTGCCATCCACAACCCAGACAGGCTTATGTGTGTATACAGCTGTGGTTCGGGGCTCACTTGGTATGAAGACAATATACTGAGCAAAGAACATGATCTTGTCCAGGACAACAACTATGCTCATTGTTCCAGCCACCCAGAGCACCCTTGGTTCTCTTTCTCTGGTGTCTGCCACAAAGAACAAGCTGAGCTATACCTCCTATTCATTTGTCCGTTGGCTCTGTGTGTACACCATGCTTCATGTTGCTATGGGAGAAAAGCACCCTGACCTCTAGCCTTCGAGACTTGTCTGCTTTGTCTGCTTTCTCTGGGGGCAGGAATAAAGAGCTGGGGGACTCTGAGGAGGAGCAACAGAAAAGCTACCTCCCCACCCTAAGGCAGCTACAGAACACCCTGGAGCTACACCTTATCTGTTGGCTGATTCCCTGGGGACAACTCTCAGTCAAGTCTGAGATAAGAGATGAATGAATATATGGAAAATGGGGTTTGATGGCTGTGTCCATGGCCTGAGCAGTCATCAGGAAGGGGATAAAGCCCAGGAGGAGTCTGGGAAGGGAAAGTGGTACTGGGTGCACCATTCAGGATGCACACCTGCAGACCTCAGACTTCGTGGAAACACAGGTATCCAGGGGCCATTAGAGGTGGGACAGTTTGGTAAGGGAGGGGGTAGGAGAGCTAGGATTCAAGTACAGACTAATGGTGTATAATGATTGAGGCCACTCTTGCAGACAGCAGGTGAAAAGCCAAGCAGGCAGCCGCACACAGAGCAGGGGCCCAGAGAGAAACATTAACCAAGTGGCAAGGTTGAGATGCTCGTCTGATTGTTGCTTTGGGGAAAGTTGATCTTACAAACAGACCCACCTGCTCTCCTTGTAAAACTTTATTTGGGCTGTTGGGGGGAGTGTTATCAGTGCTTGTCTAAACATTCCACTAAAGATCAGGGTGGGGAGAGGAGGGGAGGCACCGAGGCACAGGTCTCCAGTTCTCACATTTGGAAGTTTGTTTCCTTTTCTTAAGAGGGAGTTTAGCCATGTTGCACCTATAAGGCCAGGAGAGGGTTTTTATCTAGATTCACAGTGACTTCGGGTCAGGTCAGGCCACAGTGGTCACATTTGTGGGCATGTGATTTAGTTACTTTTCTCACTGATGTGACAAAACACCAGCCAGAAGCAACTTAAGGAAGTCAGTTTGAGGGTGTAGTCCGTCATGGTAGGATGGTCATGACGGCAGGAGGAGCCAGTTTCACTGTATCTTCAGTCAGGAATGGAGAGGGATGAATGCTGGTGCAGAGCTTGCTTCTCTTCCTCCATTCAGTTGGGGAGGGGCAGTCCATGAAATGGTGCCATCCATATTTTGGGTGGGTCTTCCCATCTCAACCCAATCTAGAAACTCCCTTACAGGGAAGTCCAGATAGTTTCCTCCTAGGGAATTCTAGATCCCATCAGATTCACAATCTCTATTAACCAACATAGCACATATCTATCAAGAAAGTTATTTCAATTTGCCACAAATGTGTCCAAACTCCTTTCGTGTGTGTGTGTGTGTGTGTGTGTGTGTGTGTGTGTGTGTGTGTGTGTGTGTATTACCACCTCACCTCTGTTTTTGCCAGACTAGGTGACAAGTATGACTAAGGGGAGTGTTCTGTTTCCTGGGGACAATGAATGGAAACCATGTTCTTTACAGTCTCAGCTCAAACCAAAGCTTCTTCCTGCTGGGACAGCATCTGATATGCTGGACCTCTGGCCCAGCATGCATGTGATCTACTGTGGATTGCCTTGAAGAATCTCAGGGTGAAGGCAAAACAGATTTTGAACAAGAATTCTGCATCACAGTAGGTGTCTTTTTTACCAGTCTGCAAAATATGCGGTAGTCTGGATCGCTGAATAGTGTTCTGCTTATCCAGTGCTTTCCAGTGCCCATAAGGACATCAGGAATCACCCTTGCAGAGGACACAGTGAGTTACTCACCTTAATCAGGCTTCTCAATGGATGTGTCTAGTATCCTGATGGATGGAGGCTGTGTGGCTCAGAGAAGCATACCTTTCCCACTGCTTTCTATAGCCAAGCTTCACACAGTAGGGAGGCAGTAAAGAACTTGTTCACCACTAGATGAACAGACCCTCCTCTCTGAAAACATTTCTCTATTAAGCATTTTTTTTTTGAGACAGGGTCTTACTATGTTGCTCTGGCAAGCCTTTAAAGGTGTGCAATTCTTTACAAAGCAGCTATTCTCATCTGCCTTCCACCTAGACTTGTTCACTATGACTTCCTGACCATGTGTTGCCCTCCCCACTGATATCTATACCTGGTCCTCTATTTTTTCTGCTTATTCTGATAAGTGCCTTTATGCATAAGATGAAAACTCATTCAGGGAAACCAAACAATGATAATGAGAGTCAGATGTGCACAGAATTACAAACAGGGAAACCATGGATGGCTGAGAAGCAGGCTCAGTCCCAATGATGCTGTACTAATGAATTTTAAGTACTAGTGGTGATTTTGTTGTTGTTATTGCTTGTTTGTTTTCAAGACAGGGTTTCTCTGTGCAGCCTTGGCTGCTCTAGAACTTGCTCTGTAGACTAGGCTTGCTTTGAACTCAGAGATCTGACTGCCCATGCCTCCTGAGTTCTGGGATTAAAAGCATGCGGCACCACTGCCTGGCTAGTAATGGCGATTTTTAAAAGATGTGAATGTTGAAGCTTTACAAAGTCATGGATTGGTACCAACAAAATTATTCTTACACCCCAGTATGGGTGCTGAGCTCTGCACCCTTTCGCTCTTGTGAAGTCTGCCCCTGTCCACTTGTTTCATGGATGTTGATTCAGAACAGCAGTGTGCCATCAATTTGATAATCTTCAACCTGACAGTCTTTCCCTCCCCAGCCTTCTGGGAGATTCACTTATTTCTGGTTTATCGAAGGGGAAACAACTCAGCCAGACATCTATGTCTTTGGACTGTTGAGGCACCTTTATGACATACAGACACAAAAGCATCATAAGCCAGACGTTGCAGGTGATGTTAGGATCTATATGACAATATCATGACTGTTCCCCTCTACTCTACTACTCCCTAGGAGACAAATACATAATGAAAATCTAAATGATTCCTTTCAGTGATAAGAGCTTGTTCTGTGTCTTGAAGGCATCACAAATCACAATGCAATTCCACAGAGCAAATGAACTGAGGACAGGACATGGTGCTATGTCAGGACAGGGATGACTTATGGTGGCATCACCTTGGACTGTTCCTCCTGCACTCTATGGTTTCCATGGAGACCAGCATCAGGGGTCTACCTCACAGGAGCATATTTGTGCATCAGACCTCCTGTGCATTTTCCACTTGTTATTTAAGAAAGGGTTTAGAAAGTGTGTGCTTTTGTTAATTTAAATATACCAACGATGTTTATCTGATTCATGTCTATTAACTTATTTACCATTCTCAACTCACTGGTCCATACTTGCCTGTTGTGCTCAAGAGGGAACTTAACATGAGCATAATGCAAATTAATTGCCATCATTAAAGCAAGCATTCATTCTCTTTTCAAACTCAGGGAAGAATGTAAGCTTTGCAATCATAGCAAAATCATACTTCAAGTTTTCTGCTGCTTAAAATTTTTTTTCAAATGAAATCAGGGTGCTGTTTGAGTTCCAAATGCTTAAGAAAAATAATATATTCTTATTGGGGTTTGAATTATACATATAACGAGACTAGCTAAAATCAAAATCAAATTCAAGAACTTTAAAAAAATGATTTCAAAAGTTGGCTATAGGTAATTCTATCTTTAACAGGTCAAAATTAAATTAGTATTAGACTCATAGAATCTTAAAAAGCAGTGAAATTCAGCAATAAAAAATACATAGGATTCATATGATAGCAATTATATCTATCTTGGCCTCACTCCACCTCCTACAAAACAGAATCAAGTGAAAAACCTACAAATTAGAAAAATCTATTAATTGACACAGAGTATAAAATGAACATACAGAAACAACAGCTTTGAAGATGTAAAGAAGGAATTCTCTCACATAGTTAGCTATAAAGGATGGACAGAGTTTCTAGTAACAAGTTTAACAAGAAAGTGAAGTCCTGTATGAAAATGTGTTTAAATACCCTAAATTTTTCATATATGAATGTTTAAGTCAGAATAAGAACAATGACAGCTTTGGACAAGTGGACTGGACATTGAAAGATGCCATTCTCCCTGGCATGTTTTATAGATTAGTGCACCTGACAAAAGTGAGTTGAGGGGCTTATGATCTTTATGTTTGTCCATATGCTTTGACTGCTGGGAAAGAACTGGGAAACTTACTCCAAACTAGTAAAGAATCCCGAAACAAAGAGCCCAGAGAGGCGTGGCTGAGGCTCTGTCAATTCTGAAGTTAAAATAGTTTAAATGACAAAGGCATGTACCGTTTGACCCAGCATTATCACGTCTAGGATGACTGTCAAGACTGGCACATCACAACATGGACACAATACTTAACTTGGTTTATTGTAACAAAAAATAATGAAATAACTTGGTGTCCATTAATATGCAAACATTCATAGTGTAATGTTAAAGTTCTATGCAGCTTCAGGGCACTATGATGCCTTTAATCACAGCACTCTGGAGGCAGAGGCAGGTGGATCTCTGTGAGTTCACACCAGCCTGGTCTACATAGGGAGTCCCAGGTCATCCAGAGCTACAGAGTGAGACGCTGTCTCAAAGTGAAAACAAAAACAAAACAAAGCTCCCAAATTTTATGCAGCTGTTAAAAAAAATTGAGATGCTCTTTGTGTACTAATATGGGAGACTCTCCAATATACACTGTTCATCAAAACATTGTGGTGCGGTATTTGTACAATGTGCTACCATTTGTGTAAGAAATAGGTAAATATGAGTAGAAATAATCTGCTTACATGTGCATTGAAAAATTAATCACAATTCACATCTTTATTATATAAAGGTCCTAGAAATCAGTAAGAAATAATTTCTAACCTCGAGGGCTGTGGAGGGTATGAATGGAAAGCAAACTGTCTATTACATGGTCTGGTGTTTTTTATTTCTGATCTATGTGAATTATACTTCCATTCAACATGGTAGATTTAAATTGCAATTTTGGAGTATAAAATGATCTTTTTAAACTTAGAACACTTTCTGTGAAACTTGAAGCCTCAAATAATAAGTATTATTTTCCAGATGGACAAACTCAACTCCCTTTGACTTCACAGACCAATCATTTTGGTGCTATGAACAATAACCTCAATTTTATGTAGTATTTGTAGGAGTGACCTTCAAATGCTATGGAGTGATTTTCCACTTCCTCCTTTACTGTCTCTACCTTGCCCCTCATGATGATGAAAGTCACTTCCTAAGCAATTGCTAGGATCCCTGGCTTGAGCAGCTTCCTGCAGCAACTCCTCAAGCTGGCTTCCTTACCAACAGTCCCCAAGACACCAGGAAGTCGGAGGTTGCTTCCGGATGCCGCCTGCACTTAGCACACCCAGCCAGGCAACATTCCATGGTTTGCAGAGTGTCAGGCGTGTGGAAATGCTGTGGCTGAGCTCAGCCTGCCTGCTCTGGAAGCAAGCCTAGTCAGGGCAGGTGGAATCTGCAGCTTTTTGCAGGATGGCAAAGCAGATATCTGTGTGTGTTGTGTCGTGTGTCCCGTGTCTCCTCCCCACCCCACCCCCACCCCTTCGGTCTCTGTTGCATCCTCCCCCTGGAAGAGCTGTTTCAACCCAGACATTTGCAACCTGCCCAGAGATTTCCTGGAACCAGCTAGGAGCCAGACAGGAAAAGATGAGTGCTGACAAATCAAACCCTGTGGATTATGGAAACTTGCAATAATGCCTGGTGGAAGATGGGGTTTCTGTGCTGACTGGTGATCTGATAATGTCCCTTGGTATGACCCATGTCCTTACCCTGTTGACCACAGACTGATTCCACCACCTGTTCCTCTGTCCTTCACCTCTCCAGTGGCAGTGAGGACCAAGGCTGATAACATGTCAGTCAGTAACATGCGGAGGGAAGTGGTATGAGTAGGTCACAGTGGTGACTCACAGGTAACCCTGTTCCTGCCACCCTGTCACAGCAACACTGCTGCTGCCCGTGTCCCTCCTGTGGCCCCTGTGACCTGTAGCTGATTGCCCTTACAGCTTCACTCTGGGGTCAGACTTCACCCTCCTCTGGGCTGGAAGCACCCTGGATTTGGAAGCCTAGCAACCCTCCAGGGTCCCGTTTAATAGGTCCTGTACCCTACTCACTCTTGCCAGCTCCCTGCCAGCTCTTGCCTTGTCTCTTGGCCACCTATCCTTGCTTGGGCCTCATGGTCTCACTGTGGTCGACTGAATGGAGTTGAAACCTGTGCCTGGGAGTTGCTGGGACCAAGCATCCTGCCCTCCTTTGCTTCTACTGGCATCTTGAGCACAGACCTCAATTTCTCAACTGGACTTACCGAGTTTGACTGAACTGTGACCTTCTGTGAGCTAGATGGTGACTCATCTGAGGTCAGTTTGCTCAGCCAGCAGCTGACTATGGTAACTTGAGTCAAATGGATATGGAAATGGTTCCTTCCTCTACGTCCTTAAGGGACCAGAGCATATTATCCCGCATGTTCCAAAACGGAGTAGCGGAAGCAGTGGAGGCAGAGATAAAAGCACAGACACTGTAGCTGCAGACTCAGCAAGTCTAGCCTGCATAGTCCGGGCATGGGAGGACGGCCCCGGGCCTGTGGGTAGGTAGCCATGAGCCCTGCTCTTCCTGGCAACTATTTCAAACCTGGGGGTCCTTTGCCAAAACAAACAAACAAAAAACATGAAGTTGGGTGTGATGGCAAAGGACTGGGGTGGATTAGCTATTTCAGAGTGACGTGTGGAATATAAGAGACATAATAAGAACTGATTTCTGAATGGTCTTGAAATGTCAGGTCCTGAGTCTTAGAGATATTTCACATGGAAAACACTGGGGGCCTCAGGCACAGGACTTAAAGGGGTGGGGTAGAAGAGCCGGGTGGAGGGATGTGGGGTGCAGCAGCGGATATTTAGCACCATCTGGACATGACCAGCACTTCAGGAAAGCAATATTCCCACCATTTGTCAGCCTGTGAGTATCACACCTCATGGAGGACCCCTAAGGTGTGGCTTCACACCTCCTGTTCCCACCTCCAGATGGACACAGCCTACAGCAGCTGAAGATCAATATATAAATATAAAGCAACGTTTTCATTGATTCACTAGACCCCTTAGCCATTAACTTAGGTCCACACCTCATCCTGGACATGGACAGGATGGGTCCAACTGAAGAAGAGTTACCATTAGCTTTTCTACCATTCACAGGTAATAGAGAAAAACAACAACAGAACCTAAAACAACAAACAAACAAGCCAGAAGTATAGATCGCCCAGGTCCAGATGGATAATCAGGATTCTGACCAGGAAGACCGGCAATTAACATAGAGGCCCCGGAGAAAGAGTTAGCAAGCAACTGTGTAAAATAACGTTTTAAGTGGGAAGTGAGAGGCAACATCTTGGGGAAGAGGCTCATCTCTACAGAAATTCAGTTACAACCCACAAGTACTATGAGAATTTTACAATGCTGAGACATGAGCACAGGCTTCCTAACTGAAACTGAAACTGATCAGGAGGCTTCTGCACCACTGCCCCCTGTCTGCTGCAGGCCCCACCCTCGGCTCTGACTGGGGCCTCTTGGACCCCATAGCCTAAAGACTGGCTTTAGCACAGCAGCCCGGCACGCTGAGCCTGAGGACCACGCCACTTTCTTGCTGACCCTGTATTTTGCTTCTAGGAGATGGGCTGATTCTGCCTCCCCGCCAAGCTGCTGGGAAGGTTGATTTTGAGATTACAAATGTCACTTCTGGGATTCAGAGGGACTGTCAGTGAACCAGCCAGAGTGATCACTAAGAGGAGGGGAGGGAGCGCTGCAGGGCCCTACAGATCTCCACAAAGATGAAGTCTGCCAGCCAAAGAGGACACTACCACTCCCCATGTCTTCCTCACAGGACAGTGAGTTCCAGGTTTTCCGCGCTACGTTTTCATCCTCTTAAATGGAGTTAATCACATTGTCTTGGGGGTATTCAAAGTCCTGAGCAATTAAGGAGTGCAAAGCGCTTTGAAAATACGTAAGCTTTCTGTAAAGGTGGTATTTAATATTTATAATGGCAAGTCTATGCTTATAGGCTCCATTAACTATAACTGCCAGCACAGGACTTAGTTTTATGACTGGCTTTTTTGAACTTAGCATATTTCATTTTCAATTAATTAATTGATATGTCAAGGGGACTTCCTGTATCTATCCAGGGTCTTATTTGGAGAACTTAAGATGTTATCTTACACAGGCCCAATTAATTCACACGGACACTCTACAATCCAGACAACAGCCCAAAGGAAAACTGGTTCCTGGCCCTCTAAAGCCCAGGCTCCTGGGTAGCACCATGACTTGGTTTCATTAAAATTACTTAGTAGGGCTATAACCCAAACCACAGACACTCCCTTTTGCCCACTGTAAAGAATTTCCTTTGTCAGCTCCTAAAGCCGATCCCAAACGGGCCCCACGCCTGGGCTGCAGAGTCGGCAGATTGACTGTGATGTCAAGGTGTGAATCCAGGCTGCAGCTGGGGAGGGTGAGTGGTTAGAAGCCAGTTCCCACTGCAAGTCTGAGCCCCCCCCCCTTCTCTGCAAAGCTCAATCCAGTTCCCTTAGACAAAGGGTTCCCCTCCCCCAACAGCAGGATGGTGATTGGTGGTTGGTTAATGGTGACCTTGGTACCTCCCTCATTCTCCTGTCACCACCACTGGCCACAATGATGTCTTCCCCCAGGGATTAATTCACACAATACAACCCCAATCTTCCCACATGGAGATGGAAAAGGTTTTATACTGATGTTCATATCTTCCATCAATACAGAATTAAATGAGTAGAAGGTCGAGCCTTCAGGTGTGCGTAATGCTCCACAGTCCCAGTGGCCCGGGGGCAGCCGTCACTTCCCCCTCCTGTCACCTTAGATCGACCTCACTGCAGCCAGAGGAAAAGCAAAGAATTCATTTTCCTGGAGTCACAAGAGTTCACAGAAGACATCTTCCCTCACAGCTGCCAAATTACTTAATGAAGAGTGCCACCCTGTGTCTGATTAGGGAAAACACAATCAAGAACTGGACCTCGGAGGTTCTGTAATGGAATCCAGCGCCACTGTGCTCTAAGGGTGCTTCTCCTTAGGATGGGTTCTTCCCCAGATCCTTCAAAAAGCAAAGCTGGAATGAGCGCGCCCCCCAGCATCCTAGTTGGAAACACAGCCTGCAGTGGGATTGCATGCTTCCATTGACAATCCTGTTGGACGCATGCATACCCATGCCAGGGTTCAGAGCCACAGGTAAAGGACACTTCTTGTAGAACCAAGTTACTTTCAGCTGGGACTTCAGGTGAGGACCTGAAATTGGTTACTGTTTTCCCATCCATTCATTTATGTAAGGCTGTGGATAGGTGGAATTTCAGACTCATACTGTAAAGACAAACACACCTACCACACCCCACATACCAACACACATATCACACACACACAGCCTAATGTGACAGAATCCAAATCACTTCCCATCATCATCCTTGAGGAACAACATAAGACAGTATCTGTCGATATTGCCAGGACAGAGCAAAGCATCTCCAGCATTGCTTCCCTTTTCCTGGTGTCAGTCAAATGATGTACACAATGGCAATGAGTACACTGCTCAGATGAAGACACAGAAGTTAAGGAGCTCACTCATGAGCCTGGTAAAATAGAGCCAGGATCTTGATCTGAGCACACCCACTTCTCCAGCCCGGGGTCTGCACTGCCAGCCTCTCCTCTGCTGACTTCTGTGCTTCTGCTTTCCTTTCTAGGGTGGTTTCTCAAATGACTGGTGTCTTCTAGAGGTCACTGACAGAGATACACCCACAGGAAAGTTGAGGAGTCACTTGACCCAGGATCTAGCCAGGCCTTAGGCAGGGCAGAGTCTGCTCTTGACTCAGCACACCTCCATGGGATCTTTTCCTAACATTTCCCACCAGTCTCCATAGCATGGCCCCCAGTTCTGGTTCTTTTTGCTCTCAGAACCCCAACCTAAAACTTACAGCTCATCTCTTCCAGTGCTGCTTCTGGCTTCTGATCAACCTAGAGAAAGGATCTGGAGTGGTGTCTACCTAGACAGGCTTGTCCTGCTGAAGTTATGAGGGGCAGTGCCCAGGACTATATGCTGAAAAACAATCATTTTACTCCCATAATTATCTTCTAGAACCTAAAACTGTATGTGTTTCTCCTATTGGTCTTGTTTGTTATTTTCTTTTTAGAGCTGGTCAGCCCTCAGCAGCCCTGCATAGGCAGGGCAGGGTGGGACTTCTTTGTGGTACTCTTGGCAATTGGCTTGGGTCAGATAGGTAGCACCTTCAACCAACATTTGTTCATATACTTGAATTTGTACATGTATCATCCAATTGCTGCTGCTTCTGATAACATGTAGGAGAAAGCAAGTCTCTAAACTGCTATCACCTGGCCTCACTCTCGTGTAGAAATACTTAGTTGGCAATTTTGACAGAAAGTACACACGTACACACACACACACACACACACACACACACACACACACACACACACACACACACTTTTATTTTATCTTGTTTTTAAGATGGGGGATCTCCTTACAAAGACCAGGCTGGTCAATCTTGTGATCCTCATGCCTCTGGCTCCCAAGTACTGGAATTACAGGAATGTATCACCACACCTAAGTGATATCTTTCTTTAGGAAAATGAAAACCAACATGGAGCTCATGGTAAAAATTAAAAAAAAAAAAAACCCATCATTTAATTAACAAAGTGGGTCGAGAAGCAAAAACAGCAGTATTTGCTAAAGTCTGGAGAGGGTCCATGGAAAAAAAGATATTTGTAAGGTTTGGGTATCAAATCACTTTTTAGTTAATTTCAAAAGGCAGAGATACCATGCAGTAAAGAATTCTGGCCTGGCCCTTTTGGAATGGCTATCAACTTCCAAACCACAGTAATAGAACAAACAAAACACCTCTTGCTGCTATGCAAGAAATGATGACACATAAAAAGGTAGAAGTATCCTTGAAGTAATGGGCCAAGGAAAGGCATGTACATGAATTACGTGTCTCCGATGTGATGCAGGACACATCTTCATGTATATGGATTCCATTTCCTTGAAGTGATGCAATGAAAAACACAAGATCATGTGCCCCTGATGAGACACAAAAGGACAAGTCATTATGCATGAAAACAAGATGCCCCTGAAGAGATGCAGAATACATCTTCCTGTCCGTAGATCATGTGTCTTTTATGTGACTCACTGAAGATATGGCACCATGTAGGCATTGTTCCAAGGGAACGATCAAATCCCAACTGATGAACAGCAACTTGGTATATTTACTCTTTCATCCAGAAGTTGACTTGTGTGTGCAGGGGTTAAAATTACAAAAGAACAAGCAGAATGTGCAGCTGCCACAAAGTACCCCCAAAGTCTCCTCTATAGCTCAGTTAAAGCGTCACAGAAAATTCTTCCTTGGCTAGCTGCAGATATTTGCAGCCAAGGTCTGGAAGGTGGCTATGAGAAGCCATGACCCACTGAGGTTGGTATGGCTAAGTGTATTATTATACATGCAAGCAATGCAGTCTCCCCAGATTTTGCCACCACCAACTGAGGTGAAAGACTGTCTTCCCAGATCCCCAAATAACCAAGTAGCTTTTCCGGGAACTCTTAGGATTCAATGTCCTCTTCCCCTCTAACAGAGCCTCCTACACTCAGCCTTCTCATCTAGAAATGTGTCCTCTGACAAATGCTCACTGGAGACCTGTGGTTCATCACCCAGCTTTGTGGCCTCCACCTTCACAAGCTGCTACTGCTTATTACTTACCCATGAAATGCAGGATGAACACAATCCGGCCTCCAGGGATAACTGTAACTCGCCCACACATCAAACTGAGCCTATCTGTCACACCCCCACAGTTTGTATGGCTAGACCCTAGCTACAAGGATAGCTTCTAAGAATGAACATGTGACTAACAAGACATGTGAAGCCATGCGTTTCTGGGCAACAACTAGGGGCAAAGCAGTGACCACATCCTCCAATGTCACCACGAGGACAGGAAAACTCAAACCTGCTGCAGGTATCAAGACTAGCCTAGGGGTCACAATGAAACCAAATCAGGAAGCTTTAGAAGTGCAGCTTGAGCCTGGAGGCAGAATTAAAGGGGCAGAGGTAGACAGAGAAAGCAAAAGCAGCTTGTTCTTGTTCCCAGAAGACACTGTGAGAAGAGCAGGCAGAGGCCAGACTCTTAAAAGAACCAATAAGGGAAAGGGGAGTACCTGGGGGCCCTATTAAAATACCCACTGCAGGAGAGTCTGCTTAGCAGACTCCAAGCTCTGAGTCCCCTCATATCTCTTCCTTCAATAAAGCTCTTGTTTTCCCTCTCTCCATGTCTTGGTCTTCTGTCTTTCCCAAATGTTTAATTATTTGTTCATCCCATGGAATGACTCTGTTATCCCCTAGAACCACCAGCATCCCTGGTACATGATTAGAATCCATCTCACCTTTGGATGCTACCCAACTTACTTGCTGTTGAATCTATTTGAGTTTTCTCTCACAACCAAGAGTAGCCTGACTTGTGTTTTCTTTGTCAACTTGTATCAACTTGATTTGTGGATTGTTTGGCTAACTGCATTAACATTTGTTTCTTCTCACTGAAAGTCCAAATTCTCAGCAAAGCTGCATGTGAAAGAGTGATAGCTTCATTCCATTTGTTCTTCTCTTGGTTAGTATAGGCCACTAGGTTCTCAGTGTATTGTAGGATCAATTTTAAGAACCTGTTAAAAAGATAGTGAGGAATTTTAGTTTCTTTGTCTGTCCTATTATAGAATGTAGCAGCATACATATCTTGTCTTCTCTTGGAAATATTCCTAAAATTTACTTAATTGTGTGTGGATTCAAGAAATGCATGCAAAATGAAAATAAGAGAAACTGTTACAGAAAAAACAAAAATGCTGAGGCCAAGGCTGTCAACACTGGGATGAGTTTTATAAGACTCAAGATTCTTTTCACACTCTCCATCTTGACACGATGTTTCTATGTGATGGAACAGAATTCCAGAGACTTTAGGGCCATCTGCCTCAGACTGAGACATGACAGACTCACAGAGAGAGAAGGTCCTGCCCACAGTCTCTCTGGGTGCCAATGTGGCATCACTTGGCTTTCTTCCCTCTGTGCTGCATGTCTCTGAAGAGAAACACCATTCCCATGGACAATGGCCACCAAACAGTCTTCCTTAGATCGTCCATAGAAGGGCAGCAATTCCAATTGATCAGGATAAACATCATTTTTATATTTTCAGATTTCCCCTCAGTTTCCCAAGTAGTGTAGACTTTCCCATAATTATCTATATTTATAAAAATTTCATAAACATATGCTAAATGAATGGTACAATGAAACCCACAGAGCCTTGGTCTGGGGAGTGGCTCTTCTCTGGGGACACTTGGTGATGTCGCTGGGGGAGTGTTCTAGCATGTGGCCAGATGCCATGGATGACACCCAGTACCACATAGTACCCAGAGACGCTTCAGGCCATGCACTAGTGGTGTTAAGGCTGAGTACCCAATCCAGCCCTGCACACCATGAACAACGAGGTCATCCAGCCCTGCACACCGTGAACGAGGCCATCCGGCCCTGCACACCGTGAACAACGAGGCCATCTGCACTTGCCTCAGCTCTAGTCAGCCATCCACGTCCTGGTGTCATTTCTGTTGCTGTGATAAAATAACCTTACAAAAGTCAGCTTAGGGGAAGATGGGCTCATTTGGCTTAGAATTCCAGGCTACAGTCCACCACTGCAGGGAATCTCAGCGGCAGGAGCCTGAGAGAGCTGGTCACACCACATTCAAAGTCAACAGCAAAGAGAAACAAATGCACCCACACTGCCTGCTTGGGACTCAGCTGTCCGTCTGTCTCTCTTCTTATACAGTCCTGGGTCCAAAACCAGGGAACGGTGCCATCCACAGTGGGCTGTGCCCTCCTGTATCAATTAACAAACAAGGCAATCCCTACAAACACGCCCACAGGCCAACCTGATCTAAAAATTTCTTCAACTGAAACTTGCAACTCCAAGTTGTGTCAAGCTGGCAATTAAAACTAATCAGTCTAGGGCAGGCAGATGGCTCAGCAGGCACAGCACTTACCAAGCCAGTCTAGTGACCCGAGCTCAATCCTGGAACTCATGTAAGGTGGAAGGAGAGACTGGACTGAACAAGTTGTCCTCTGACTTTCACAACTCCTCCTCTCCCAGTCCCCTTCCCCCAGAGTAATTTAAAAATACTTTTAAAAAGTATCGAAAAAGCTAGAAATTGTGGCTGGCACATGCCTTTAATACCAACACTTGGAAAGCAGAGGCAAGCTGGCCTCTGTGAGTTCAAGGCCAGCCTGACTTCATAGTGAGTTCTAGGCCAGTTAAGATTACACAGTGAAACCCTGTCTAAAACACACACACACACACACACACACACACACACACACACACACACAGAAACACTACACACCACACACATACACACACACACAGAGAGAGAGAAACACTACACCACACACACACACACACACACACACACACACACACACACACAGAAACACTACACACCACACACATACACACACACACACAGAGAGAGAAACACTACACACCACACACACACACACACACACACACACACACACACACACACACACACAGAGAAACACTACACACCACACACACACACACACACCACTGTAATCCATAAGATGCTTCAATATGCAAGGACTCCTACCCCTTGCCAAGTACTACACAAAGCCAGCTAAGATATGAAACACCTGTGGGCATGGATGGAGGCTACATCACAACAGCTGTGGCCAACTGACCACACGACACATTTGTACAGCTCTGTCCAAAGAGTCTCGTGAGCTCTGGGATCTCTGCATGTGGAGTGGTCTACACAAAAGTTTATCTTAGTTTCAGACTCCCTAGATCTGGATGCTGTTGAAAGGTAGAATTCTTAAGTCTGAAACTGTCAGCTATACTCAACTAAAGTGACTGTGAGTCACTTGGATGTGGTGGGGTCTGTCTCAGGGCTCGGACTTCAGGCCACTGAAGGGTGCACACCTCAGGATCCTCCTCCAAGACCATCCTCACAGTCTGTAAACTGTCAAGTTCTGAGTGGATTCTCAAGTAAATTAGATTCAGTTTTGTGAAATGTGCCTATAAGGAAGCAGTTTCAAATGCCCACAAACTTAGTATCACATTGTATAGAGAAGACGAGCAGGAGAAACTGTGAAGTTAAACCATCACCAAAGGAACAGCCAAGAGAAGTCAAAATTTCTCAAGCTCGCCTAAGCACCATCTTACCTCAGATACTGCTGACGGTCCTGAGCACTTTTACTGTGGACAGTATGAACACTGACCAATTCCAGTGCAAGGAGCAACAAAATCAGGTAAAGTACAGGAGACAGAAGTCTAACACTGAAAAATGATGAACAGAGCTAAGATTCTCACAGTCCTTTCCATTTTCATAAGGAAAAACAACACCTCATCTAATCATCACCTTTTTCAATTAAAAATTTTTATATAATTATTTTGATCATGCTTTTCCACCTTTTCCAACTCTCCCCAGATCCTCCCCACCTTCCTACACACACAACTTCATGTTTGTAAGTGTGCTTGCTCGCTCTCTCTCTCTCAAAAAAAAACCCACAATACATACACAAAACAAAATGAAAATCAAAATAAACAACAAAAATAAACAGTAAAATAAAAATAAAAAATAAATGACAAAGGACAAAAAGCCAGAAACAAAACAAAAAGCATGCAGTTTGTCTTGCCAACACCTTTTTACAGTATCCCTAGTCCAACTACCTGGGAAGATGGTTCTCCTGTCCTTTGTGCTCACCCGCCCTGCCCTGCCCTGCCCTGCCCTGCCCCAGTCTCTGCCTCCCAAGCCCACAGGGGTGCAGCCCAGCCCTCCTTGCTCTTCCCTTCTGTGGCAGCAGCAACGGCTTTGATCTGGCTCAGTCCCAGCTGCCCCCAAGAATACTTACTTTCCAGGTCAGCCCCAGAGACTGCTGCTAGGTCCCACGCTCTGTGCCCACTAGCACCAAGAGGATGAGGTGTCTTAACTTTGCTAGATTCCAAGAAATCCCTATTAAAGCCCAACCTTATTTTGCCCATGAGACCAGCAGAGATGCTTAAAAACACTTCACTCCATTTTAGAGGGAAGTGATGTAATAGCACTCCTGTATAAACTAACTGAGGGCTCACTGAGAAACTTCTGGAAGGCAATGACCAAGCAAGAGCTCTGATAGGTCTACAAAACACCGCACCATTCAACCCAAAGTTCTAGAAATGTGTCCAAAACAGCTATTTTTTAAGGAAACGTGAAGAATCGGTGCTTGCAAATCCAAGGGAACATACTCTAGGGCTTAAATCCAGACAGTCATTTTGAGTGGTGGGACCCACTCCCACAGGCTAAATTTAAAATTCCTCTACAACAGTAGACACTGTAATTATTCACTGGAAGGATCAGCACCCACCCAAACCTGAGAAAGAGGGCTGCGAGGAGGGGATGCCTACCTGTTGAGCATGCGCAGATAGTTCTGACGCTGCCTGGAGCGCAGCGTGCGCTCCACCCACTGCCTGTGTCTCAGTTGCAAGGAGGCAATGACCTGGTCAGCTACACGCTGGCACTGGGAGCTGATGCCTCGGAGCACAACCAGAACTTCTAGAACGAGTCTGGGGCAGAACAGGGTAGGAATGCGTGTGCTGCAGAGTTCCTTGAGCAGCTGGGGCCACCTGCAAGGGAGAGCGTAACAATCGGGACACAACACCAGGGAAGGCCACTGTCGTCTCTTCTTCTGGTTTGAATTGGTGTGGAGTCTGCTAGTACAAGTGGGACCTCAGCAAGTGACAGGTAAATGCAACCGCAGTGAACAGAGTATACATGGGAAACTTAACTAGACGCACGGTACTTGCACAGAGATCACCTAAGTTCACCTGATGACCTCTTTTGGGACACAATACCAAACTGCTAAAATTTAGAATGGAAACATCAAGTCTGATATCATAAATTACCAGTTATGATTCTTCAGTACTCACTTCTCTGGGGGAAGACCATCCAAGCCATTTACAACACAGGTACTCCCGGGAATATGGTGGCAGAGCTCACACAAAATCTTGCTAATTAAAGAGTTGCAGGCATATGCTTCAGAATTACCTTCCAATCTGAAGAACACACAATATTTAAAGGTATACTCCAATAATTAAAACTCCCACATTATTGATAATATAAAATGATGTTTAATGCACAGTGAACTTGATCTGAAATTTAGTTTCCCCAACATAAGTGAAAACAGGCATCATGATAGGATGAAATGAATCACAGGAGAAGCTGGACGCAAGGCACTATGCAGAACGAAGGTGATCTGTAGCTTGCCCAGAGTAGCTCTGCTATGTATATCTGCTTTACTCTACAGTCCCCAGATCTGTGTCCCTCCTCCTCTTCATGTCCGCCCAGCCCTTACTGAAGGGTGCCTTATCTTCCTGACAGACACCTCCAGTCTGTGCTCAACTGCCAACAAACTGGGCCCAGCAGTTCCTTTCCAGAGGCCTGCTAACAGCCTTGTACAAGAACCCATGTCAACGTGACCCAGCCATGGTCTACATGACCCAAGTGACACATGCAACAACTTAGGCGGCATACTCCCCAGTCCAGATGACACGCACCTGGCTGCTTCCTGACCAGGCTCTTCCGGCACAGGCAGCACAGGCCACATCCCGAGGCTTTTCTCACAGTTCAGCACCTGGGAGGAAATATTTGACTGCTCTAAGGTTTTACAATATCCTAGAAAGTGTGTTTTCAACTGTCACGAATATTGAATCACTTTCTAGAAAATATTTGTAAAACTGTTACAGATTGCATATTTGAAAAGCATATGGTGAGCTCAAGTATTTCACATGTTCATCTGATGGACTGTTAAGACTACTGCTGGTTCTTACTGTTGGGGTGATGATGAGCATGTTCACAAATATGACACCCTCAGTTGAGAGGGACCTACCGCCCCTCCTCTGAACTGTGACTAGCTTTGGCAATCGTTCTGTGAGTGACAGCACACAGCACAGATGAGGGAGGCATGTCAACACTATCAATCACTTGTCAGCATCCAGGTGAAGCCATACAACAGATCCTTCAGTAGGTCCTGCCCCACGATAATATGAGAAAATTAAGTGGCAGCTGTGTGGACATCAATGAAAGTGAGCAATCTTCTGCAGCAGCAATGACCTTATAAAGCACAGGATGTCACTAAGTAGTAGATAGATAACAGATGAGGGTCCAAAAGAGCCAGGGTGCTTCCTGGGGCCATAGAAGAGGACAGCAAAGGGCACAGGCTGGGGACTCAGCAATTGGCTCACCAGGTAGTCTACCTTCCAGAACCTTCCCTCCTGTCCTCCTTGTCTCTTTAAAATGCTGGTCCCTGTAGGTAAGTTCTGATACTTCTACCTTTCTAATGGTATCTTGGAAAGAAGACTTAGAATGGAAGCTAATTTGCTGACATGCCCCTTCTTACCCATACTGCTTTAGCTATTTCCTCCTAACTCAAACATCCCTCCAGGAGGAAGTGTCTTAAGAAGCTTATAAGATTCAAGAGCCCCTCCCCATGGTTATAAGTAGAAGCCAACTGCTGGGAAGAGGACACTCTTGGCTTAGCTGACCACAGTTGTATAGAAAACTCTAGGGTGTAGCCTTTGTGAGTTATCACTATTGCTGGGATGGACATCACCAAATGCAGCTGCCTGAGTCATCTAGGCACCTTGTAAGCAACTCCCCCAAACTCACTGGGTGGAATGGTTTCTCTGATTTGTTTGTTGGTGCTCTATCTGGGGAGAACAGATGTTTGTGCACCTCTCCACAGGAAAAGTCTCACAATGGATGTATTTGTCAAACACAACACTGGTCAAGCCTTGGTCCCTGACACTGCCTCTCTAGTCTTTCCCAACACACACACCAGTTTACAGCAGCCCTGTGAGGGTGTGCTCTCTTGCCAAGTCTATGCAAGAGCCATTCTGAGTGTGGCATTCATGGGGGTTCTTCTTGTCCTGTCTCCTGCCATATACAGAATAAAACACCTGAGGGATGGGGAGATGGTTTAGTAGTAAACAGCACGTACTACTCTTGCAGAGGGCCTGTTGTGTGGCTTACAATTGCCTATAACTCCAGCTCTAGTGGATCAGAAACCTCTGGCCTCCAAGACCACCTGCACTCATATATACATACTGCAGCCCCCTACATAAAATCTTTTTTCAAAAAAAGTATAAAGCATTTGAAATAATCCCCAAATTGGAACTGTCTGGTAGAAATGCTTGGAAGTTTGTTTTTAAAATTGTAAGTTAACAGAAAGTTGTCTTATATGGTAGAAGAAAAAAATGACATTCTCACGTGATAAAACTTGCTTCTCTCTCTGGGCAATGACCAGTGACTGCAGCCATCTAGGTTCCATGCTAAACACTCCACCTGTCATCCTTGAGACAGAACCACCTTTAACTCTGAGACACAGAACTTGAGCTGCAAGCTCAGAAGACTGAGTCACTTGACCAAAGCCATACAGTAAGGGACCAACTGGTCAGGAAGTCTGACAGGGCAAAGCCGTGGGGCCCTTCTGATGTCTCTGAAGGGAGATCAGTATCACACATGTCCCCTCTCCCAAACACTCTGCATGTGGCATACCTGTTTTTGAAGCTGGAAGGCTGGGTGGCAGCGAGATCTGTAGCCTTCTGCAAGACTGACCAGCAACTGTATTGCTGCTTCCTCCTAGTTTAGAAAATTGATGTTAGTCACTATAGTTCTATATTTGGCCTTTGTCTTCTTCTGAATCGTAGTCACTTAGAGTCCTAATCTTTCACTTCATCTAAAGCATGGTAAAACTCTTCACTAAAGCAAGATGGACCTGGCAGTCAACCAACTGACTAAAATGGAGCTAACTAGCCACAATAATTTACAAAGATCACATCCACCCTGTCCATAGCATAGCAAAACTACAAATATATAAGGAGAAAAAGATCCAAAAACAAAAGGAAAAAATTTTAAGGACTGAACATCAATACAATTAGAGAAGAATTACGTGACCATAAAGTTATATATAATTGCCAAACATATAAATATTAAAAACAAAGATAATATAGTATATTCCAATGGCTGTTATAACTGTATAACTGAAAACCTGTATCAGCAACTGGAAACTACAAAAGCATAAAGTCAGGGAGCCAGAAGTTGGCAGAAGTCAGAAGCAGAAACCGTCACATTCTCAACAGCACAGAGCAATGATTGAAATGACCAAGATCAAAGTGCTGAGGACATGTGCCAACTTCTCATTCACTGACAACTGCCAGCCTGAGCCACAGCCATATCGTGGGCAGCATCCTCATGGCTGCAGTTCCAGCAGGGCAGAGACTTGTGTGAAGACTGTGGATGAGTGCTGGAATAGGCACCAGGGGACAGTGTATGCCTTTAGGTCAGGAGAGAGCATCCCCTTCTGCTCTAAGATATGAAACCACAGACAGGCTTTACATAGAGGGACATAATGTTTCAAAAAGGATCTGGCTGCTGTGTTGAGAAAAGGGAAGAAGGAAGGTTGTCAGAGCAAGTGTCCCTCCAGGAAGTGAAGGTGATTTGGCCAAGTGGTGTAATGGAATAGCATTGAGTAATAGACTCAAGATGTATTTTAAGACAAAACTGAGTATAGAATGTGAAAACAGGGAAGAGAGGCTTGGGGGTCTGTGAGCCTCAGAAGCTACCTTTTGGAGATATGCTACTTAGTTGGGAGGGTGGGGTCCACATTCATCATAGGCCTGAAGTCAGGACATACTTGTTATTGGTAAATTTTTTTCTTTGACACAGGGTCTTGTACATCCAAGATTGGTCTCAAACTCCATGTAGCTGAGGATAACCTTGTGATCCTTCTGGGCTGGTGGATGTCTTTCTATATGCTGTGAATATATGTTGTTCCCATTGGTTAATAAATAAGCTGCTTTGGCCTATGGCAAGGCAGCTTAGAGGCAGGTGGGAAATCCAAGGAAAGAGACAGAAAAAGGAAAGGCAGAGGAGAGAGATGCCAACTGCTGCCAGAAGAAGCAAGATGTGAAAGAACCAGTAAAGCCATGTAACACATGGCAAAATATAGATTAATAGAAATGGGTTAATTTAAGATATAAGAGCAGAAGGCCAGCCATAGACCATCCATACAGTTTGTAATATAAGATTCTGTGTGTTCACTTGGGTACGAGCAGCTGCGGGACCATGGGTGAGAGAGATTTGTCTGGACTGTGGGGCTAGGCAAGACCACAGGAAAACTTCTGACTACATTTGGCGACCAACGTGGAGCACAAACCCACGGCCCTGAGATTAAGAGTCTCATGCTGCACCGAAAGAGCTGGATTTCCCACCTACCTCTAAGCTGCCTGGCCATAGGCCAAAGCAGCTTATTTATTAACCAATGGGAGCAACACTTCTGCCTTTATCTTCTGAGTGAGGGCTGGGATTACAGGTGTGAGCTACACCTGGTGTATGCAGTGCTGGGTCAAACCCAAGTCTTCATGGATGCTAGGCAAGCACTCTACCAACTGAGCCACGTCCTCAGTTTCTGAATAGTGTGCAATATAGTAAGAGATGTCAGCTTCCCTATGTGATTCTACTAGACTATTCTTTTCAGTTTGTTTTCTGGGTCTGTTGACTTTAATGACACAGCTCACAGGGAATATAAACAGTGAGAATAGACAAGACAATTCTGAGGCGACAGGAATGCGAATTGTCTCTAGTGTCTGGAAAGCACTAAACAGTGTCATGAAGATTCAGCAGAGAGCAGAGCTTCCAGCAAGAGAGTCCAGGGCTGGAGCCTGATGTATACTGAATAAAGATGTTAATTCTCCACATGGCATTCAGAAAAGTTGCTAACAATTTCAACAAGAAACACGGAAAGCTAGATTCTCTACCTCACTCCCAAGAGGAACTAAATTCTACTTGGAGCAAAAGACAAAAACACTAGGAAAATTATGGTTATGTTTATAATTTTTGGAATGCAAAGTAGCTTTCAAGAATGACATCAAAGGCAGAAGCCAGAGGGAAAAAAAGAACCCAGAGCTAAAATCAAGTACATCACTGAAAACAGCAGCAAGGTTCCTAAAGTGGTGGAAAAATACAAGTGAGAAAGGACAAGGCAGGAACAGCAGCATCAGTGAAGAGAAAAACCAGGCCTTACTGCTCTCAGCCACAGGCCTTACTTTTGTACACTCACTAGCATAGGTGTTCAAATGAACACAGTCCTCCACCACTACAATCAGAGAGTTTCCTCAGTCAAAGGGACAGCTCACACACCCAAATGGAGATCATTTAGATAAATGATGGTCTACTGATGCAACAGAATGACAGACCGCTAACAAAAAGAGCAGGCACAGCAAAGATCCCAAATACAGCTAATGAAAAACACTGCTTAAAGGACAAAGCATTTCTTCCTATGAGCCTATCTGGGGATACCCGTGGGAAGAACAGAGAAGCAAGGACACCCAACTTTTAACAGCTTTCATCTCTGGCAAAGGGGATTCCTGATGGCCTTTACATATTATAATAATTTTTCAATCTTGCTTAGACTTTTAAACAACTTAAAAAATAATTGCCATATATATAATCTAAAAACAAAAAAACACCTGCAATATTATAACTAAAATTATTTATTTTAAAATAACAAAATCATTAGTTTCAGAAATGCAAATACCCTGTTCCATCAATTTGATATATACTTATAGGAGTTTCCTGTATTTGGCTAATCATGTTTTATAACCTGTTCTTTGGTTTTTAATACCAACACTGCTATTAAAAAGAAAGGCAAAGATGTGTTTACGAGAGGACAAATTATTTCAGATTCAAAACTCTGATTTTCAGAGAATGCATGCATGTATGTTGTTAATTTACAGATATTCTGATGGAATAATACTGTAACTCAAATTAAAATGAAAAAATGATCAATAACTAATCATATAGTGATGGTAAATTCTGACAGCCACCCTCTTCCCTCTGTGGTACCTTCAGCTCTGACAATGTGTCTTCCTCAGTGAATCTGAGCAGAAGCACCAGGGAGAATGTGAGCAGCTGGCTTGCTGCTTCTCTTGGAAATTCACGTAAGTTGATCTCCCCATGGCTTAAACGATCCCGGATACGAGGACCCTCCTGATAGTTCAGGAAATCCCACAAGAATTCCTTTTAGAAAATTAACAGAGAAGCATTCTGTTAATGTTGTGAGCATAGGCAAAAGCAAAAGGCAGGGTTCCAGGCAGTTCCTGGCTTGTTTACGAACTGATGGGAAATGTGAGTCTCAAAGAGGGCATTCACCCCGTCCTGCAGCTGCAACTGTAGCAGGGTGCTCTTGCTCACACAGCCTGCCTGCAGGAGCTGACCACCAACCATTGGGGCAGCTGCCTGGAAGGAGTTGCTGCTTAAGGCACTCATCTGTTATTCTTACCCTCCTATATGGAAGGGAAATAAACATTCCTCCTGCTGGAATGAGCATAACCAAGCAGGTGTCCTTGGCCCATTCCTTCCCCTACATTCACCCATGGACCACTCCTGCATCTCTCATCAAGAAAGAGAGCTGCTCCCTCCTCTAACAGTACATGCCCAAAGTCTCTCTCTGCCAGACTATGGAGAAAAAGGTCAGAAAACCACTGATGTGGGCAGACTGCCAACCGAGGAAGAGTCCAGGGAATTCAAGACAAAGAGGATACCAGATAAATTAGTCGTCTGGCTATCTGTGGGTAGGAAGGGATGCCAAAATCACATGAGGAATGGGAAGCAGAATCCAGCTCTTCTCTCAGTGAGGTGGAAGAGACAAAAAGTATCTACTACAGTCTAGAGCAGTCACTGTAGTGTCCTGATAAAATATAAACTGCTGATGGAAAAATGGGTCAAAACATTAATCTGTTTCATCCAACACTAAATCTTAGAGACATTTGACTGTTGCTAAATTTTACAAAGCAAATATAGTCCTTTCTTTACCAAAAATACACAGAACCAATAAATAAAAACAGTGTTTAGAAAGAGGGCAGCCAAGTCGTCAGGCATTCAAAGGGCATGGCACTAACCAGAATAAGCAAAGCCCAGAGCCTACAGGCAGTCACTCCTGATGAGTGTCCGTGACAGGACAGGACGACAGCACAGCAGCAGCTCAGGTCCTGAGCACACCACAAGTCACGCTGACTCTAGACACCAGCATGTTCATAAACAGAGAGACCTAAGGCTGGAGATAACCAAATCTTTACCATGGCAGACTCTCCGAGGAAATGGGGAAGCTGGTTGATACTACCATCATTCAAGTGTTTTGCCAGTATCTAAAACACCAAAAATAGATTGATCAACAGGCTGTTAAACTGACACACACACATGCATAATTCATAACCAGACTCATGTACCTACACACACGGACATTGATCTGTACACACATAATTAGAATATTCATATTTCTAAAGTTGTTACACTGGTTGAGGACAGTTGTTCTCAACAGTGGTCATAGCCAATCGTGTCAATCTGTTTGCATTTTCCCCACTTTGTGTTTTGTACAACTACAGAAAAAAGATTAATAATACTAGGCTTCAAAATTAATCTGAATGCTTTATTTAAATGTGTTTATTTGAAACAGATTTTCAAGTACTACAAGTTGCCTTCAAATCCTGCCTCTACTTCACAAGTGATGGGATTGCAGGTATATGCTGCCATGCTGGGTATATTCAGTGCTGGGGACTAAACCCACAGCATCATGAATGCCAGTCAATCATTCAATCAACTCAAGTATGGCCTCAGAGCTACATTTAAATCTAGCATAAGCTTCTTCTTCTCATTTATCAACATTTTCCTGTAAACATGCTATTTATAGTTAATCTTGGTGGTTTTTATTAGTAGTATTAAATTATTTTAAATTTACTTATTTTAGGTGCATGAGTACCTTGTCTGCATGTGTGTGTGTGCAGCACCACGTGCATGCCTACGCATGGTTGTGAGCCACCACCATATGGGTGCTTGGAAAAACAGTAAGTGCTCCTAACCACTGAGCCATCTCTCCAGCCCTCATCCTTGTGTTTTGATTTATATTTAAAAGGAGATGATTGTTTTTCAAGGTTTCTTGCAAGTTTGACTACTTACTTCATCAAACGTGGTATATAGAATTGTTGACTGCAGAAAGGGGAAGAGATAAAAGAGAAATAATTAAAACAAAAGAGTAATATCATTCAAAGTCAAAAACAATTCTAGCTCTCAGAAGGTGCTACTGCTTTCATAACATCCTGAAGTTTAAAGGGCCGTTTGGAAACAGAACTATCTTACATAATCACAATTAAAATAAATGTGTGCTTTAACAGCAAATAATGTGGGGCGAGTGTGTGTGCGTGCGTGCGTGCGTGTGTGCGTGTGTGTGTGTGTGTGTGTGTGTGTGTGTGTGTGTGTGTGTGTGCGTGTGTGCGTGCTGTAAGGGATTAGACCCAGGGTTTTGCATAGTCACATAAAACTGTCAATATAGTACCCACAGTCCCAGTGAGTAACAGAAACACGTGTACCTCGGCCGTGAGGAGTCTATCAGGACATTTGTTAACTGCAGCAAACACTCTCCTGAGTCCAGCTTCTAGCTGTGACAGCAACAGCATGGTGCAGTCAGCAAACCTGTGGAACCAGAGGGAATCGGCAAGTGCCACAGTGACCGCACTGCAGCCTCGGCACGCCAGTGTGGCGCCGGAAGCAGGTACAGAGCTTACTAACGAGAGAGACAAAGTGAGGGACTCCAACTCTAATCAGACTAGGGACTCTAAGACCATGTTTTGGTATTTTAATGCTTGATGAAATATTTTTAGTAGTTTCAGTGGAACAAAATGTCATCAAAGATCTACATATGCTGCGTGTCACTTCTGAAGATCTCCAGAATAGCACAGCTCCAGAGGGCAGCTCAAGTACAAAGTGAATCCAGGAGTGAGGTTCTCTGAGGACCAGCAATGACTGACTGCCTGGCTCTCCAAGCTCTACCCCTCTGAAAACATGCTGTGCCTGGCTTCCACACGGGGTTGGCCTTTACAGGAATCTAACAGCCAAACATACCTGTCCTTTTTTTTTTCTCTTCTAGGTTCTCTACTGCTAGGTTCAATGTTTTTCTTACAGTAAGAATGCAGAAAATATACTAAGAAGTTTATTCTTGAAAAACAGAAGTTATATAGCCAGGCACATGCCTTTAATCCCAGCACTTGGGAGCCTGAAGCAGGTGAATCTCAGTGAGTTCGAGGCCAGCCTGGTCTACAAAGCAAGTTCCAGGATAGCCAGGGCTGTTATACAGAGAAACTTTGTCTCAAAAAAACAAAAACAAACAAACAAAAAAAAAGAAAACAGAAAAAAGAAAAAAAAGTTCTACCAATTGCACCAAGAGGATGACAGGGAATACTTGAATAGTTACAGCTCATCTAAGTTATCAAAGGAAGATACTCTGTACTGAGCCTAATCTGAGTCGGTCTCTCCTCTGCTCACTCTGTCAGGATAGTAACTGGGCTTTAGACGGTGAAGGGCATGGAACAGGCCTGGCATCTAAGCACCAACACCACCCACCCTTGTTACCTGTGCACCTTGAACTTGCTCACTGCCATTTCCCAGTATGGTAACATGGTTTTTAATGAGAAGGCAGATTTCATCATCACGTTCTCTAATGCTGAGAGTACCTCATCAGTAACACCTGGGAAAGAGCAAATACCCTTACAAACACAACCACAGTAGCCAACTGAAAGAAGTCAGGGACACATGTGAACAAATAAAACTGTGGCCTGAGGCAGAGCACCCCTAAAAAGGAAGAGTACCTGACCCACGGTCTCAGGAAGCTTGCCAAGAGGAAAGATGGACAAATGAATCTCGTCAGGAACTTGGGCAGCAACTGAGGGTAGGGCTCAGGGTACCCTAGTTTAGTGCACTGACCAAGAGGAGCAGGATGTGTTCTCGGAGGACACAGCAACCCTTTCTGTTGCTGGCACAGCTGATACAATGGCCACGAGCACAGATGCAGACAGGTGAGAGGAGCGGAAAACAAACACCATGAATGGCCCCAAGATGTTCTGGAGGGTAGCACATCTGAGGAAGAGGCCAGTTCTAACAGTGACTCTGGGTCCCCAACAGCACCAGAACAGTGAGAAGGGGTGAAGTTTAAAAGGTTCTTCAAGTAACTTACAAAGCCAACTTGGCAATGAAAAGTAAGTTCTTCACCAAGAATTCAAGTCTGATGCTGCTTACAAACTGTGCAAATACCTCCATGAAGACACAGTAAGGGGGCAGTGTGAGACAGAACTTGCCAGGGAAAACGATCACATCCTCTAGGTTTGTAAGAGTTACAAAAGGTCGATGTGCCAGTGTGACTTTTGCTTGGTGAAGGTAGCTCTTCAGTAACTGACCCAGTCCTGCTGTCCACAACAGCATAGCTGAACAGTACCTAGGGAAGACCAGAAACCAGAAAATGAGCTTAGTTATTCATATAAAGAACTTTTCTTAGAAAAAAAAATGTTAAAATTATGCAAGACGGAGGACTGAGATGCTTCAGCAGGTAAAGGAGACTACAGCCAAGCTGGACATCCTCAGTTTAATCCCTAAAACCACATCTGGAAGGAGAGAACCACTCCCCACAATTGTCCTTTGGCTTCCACACAAATGCTGTGGCATATGTACACATGTATAAATGAATATAAAAATTAAAAGAATTAAGAAAGAGCCGGGCGGTGGTGGCGCACACCTTTAATCCCAGCACTCGGGAGGCAGAGCCAGGCGGATCTCTGTGAGTTCGAGGCCAGCTTGGTCTACAGAGCAAGATCCAAGAAAGGCGCAAAGCTACACAGAGAAACCCTGTCTCGAAAAACCAAAAAAAAAAAGAATTAAGAAAGAAAACCAACAAACCCCAGACTCCCCAGAGATGGTCGGGCTGTGCAACAGCTAGGAAGACCGTCTGATTTCAGAGTGCCTGGGCTTTCTGCCGATCTGCTTCTCTGTCTGCTCTGCTCGGGGTGCCAAGCATCGGAACACACTCTCACCACTCCAGTTACTGCGCTGTTAACACGTGACCTGACCGTTCACGTCTCAAATCCTCCCATCTTTCATAATTAACCCTTTCCTCTTGGGAAATTCTTAAGCAGATTAAGGAAGAAAGTTACTTAGCCAACAACTTACTTTGGAGGAATGTCTTGAGGGGAAGCAAAGCCATGCCACAAGATGTTTCTCAGGTTGAGTCCACAGGGAGACCCAATGAAGACTTTCAGTACGTCCATCTAATCCATTAAGACAGCAGATTACTGACTAGTGGAGTAAATAAATTCAGTCCTACAATGTTTGCTTCTCCCTTAGAACCAAGAAAGTCAACAGTTTCTGCCAGCATAAAGTAGTAACAATATTGAAACTAACATCAAAATTCTATACATTTTCATTTAATGTGTGCCAGTATGTAGAGGTCAGAGGACAACTTATGAGAGCCGATTCTTTCCTTCTACCATGTGGGTGCTGGAGATTGAACTATAGTCATCAGCCTTGGTGGCAGGTACCTTTACCCAATAAGCCATTTCACTGGGCTGAACCCAACACTTATTGAGTATTTAGCACATGCTACACATATTTTTGAATGATCCCCAGAACCACCTCTGAGGAAGGCACTATCATTTCCCACTGTGCACAGAAAGAAACACGAGTGAAGAAGGTAAAGCCGAGGTTTCAGAGACCAGACCATCAAGGCAGTCCCAGGATGAGGAGCTGACTCAGAATATATAGCTTTAACACTGCACATCAGAGGTGCCCAGGATCTGAACACATCAGAAAATGGATACAAACTCCAGACCAGGTAGTGTGGGCCTATGTGGTAAAAAGGATGAGAAAAGCATCCAAGTCCCACCTCCTCAGACAAACTCATGAGAGAGGACAGTCAGCCCTCAGGAAAGAAAAGAAAGCAATCTTGGTTTACATTGGGCTGCTGCAGAGCAGAGGAGAGAGGTGCTTTCTGAGCCTCTGAAGCAGAACTAGCAGGTGGAAAGCTCAGAGGGGTTCAACCCAACACCAGTGTTCAACAGCCATATCTTGGAAGGAACCTCAGAAGCCCCTGCTCCCTTCCCCCAGTTTAGATACCAAATGCCATCTATCTATCAGCAGCTACAAGAAATCATCTGGAGGCTAAAAGTGGCCATTCAGAGTTAGATGGTGAATGGCAAGCAGGCAGGCAGGCAGGAACAAAATGTGTTTAATGATTCAGCATAACAACGAGAGGCCATACTCCAGCCTTATCCCAGGCCCTCTACCAGAAAATTATTTTCAAGCCGGCAAGGGAAATGATCCCAGTGAGTAGTAGGAGGGTTCACTGAAGATGGTCTCTTAGCCCCAAATAGTGAATTTGGTGGACTTCTGGTCCAACTAAGATGGCTGTTTTGGTCTTCTGCCTCACTGAGCTCCCTACATGTTACCATCTAGTCTGAAGTCTCTTGATTACAGTCCCTCTAGAATATTCTGAAAAGTATAAAGGCCTCTATAATTTTCACCAAGTTCTATTTTCTTTTTGCCACTATAAGTCTGAATGACTGTAAAAGGTATAAATTCCTACCTGTTAAAAACACAGGTATTTTAGGACAAAAATGTAATATTATCATTCCAAAGTGCTAAATGTAGTCTGTAGTGACTTAGTACCACCATTATGAATGTTTAACTGAACAAAGCGATATGCTTCTAACTGCCTCTCTGGTTTGACCTACATGGTTATTCGAGCACCATCAAATCTGGGGAGAGAGACCCTGTGGACTATGTGGAAGTGGGCCAGCTCCAGAAGGAAGGGAGGATACACTTAAATCGGTGAAATAGTGTTTCCCCAGAGTTCTGTAGTTTTGGAAAATCGAAAGCACAGCTCATGCCAGCCACACTATGCTTTATGTGTTATTGACACACTTACCACAGCATGTCCAAAGACTTGTGCAAGCTCTGCAGATGCAAGAAGATCTCTTAGAAGAAAGGGGCACTCCTTCCCAATCAGTAAAAATACCTAAATTCAAACAGAAATCATACAGTAATTACATTATAATGAGGCAAAATTAAAAACAGAGCAAGATTTATGATACATAGTACAGATGAGCAAAGAGAAGTGCTTAGACATAGATTTCCTTTCCTGTGTATATGTGTGTGTGCGCGCGTGTGTGTGCGTGCATGCGTGCAGGCTTGTGCACACGTGAGCATACTGGCCAGAGGAGGACATCAGGTGTTTTAGTCTATCACTCTCTACCTTATTCCCTTGAGATGGGGTCTTTTACTGAAACTGGAGCTAGAATAGAGGCCAGAGAGCCCCAGTGAGCCTCCTGTCTCCACCCCTCCCCCACCCCCAGTGTCGGGTCACAGAGGTGTAGAAGCAACCATACATAGCTTTTCATGTTTTGAGATGGGCACTGTAATCTAAATTCAGGTACTCATGCTTACACAGCAAGTCCTTTGATCTATTGAGATAGCTCCCAGGCTCATAGGTACTGGAATTTCTTAGTTATGTAAAAAGAAAATCACTGTATTTTACAAGAAAGCAATATATTAACCAAGAAATCTGAAGTTTTTGTGTTCATCCAGGTAATCTAGCAAACAAGGAGATTCTCACACTCACATCGCCTAAGGCTCGTTCCAGACAGGAAGCCAATTTCATCACGCTGAGGGAGATGGCAGGAGGATACAGGCTTTTCAAGGCATCAAATATTTCCAGAAACAGCTATTTAGAGTAAGACACATAGTAGAGCTCAGATTCAATGAAAAATAATTCTCAAAACAACATTTTTATTGTATTACTATTACTGAATTCAAACCTCTTAATATTTCAACTACTACATTTAAATTTTTGACATAAGCAAATCGTTTCCATTGAAATAATATAATAAAATTATTTAATACCTAAGGAGTTCTTTGAAAGTTCTTTCTTTAAATGTTTGTTCAAAGTATAAATTTGGCATAATGAATTGAAACCAAGTATTTTGACCTACTTTTTATTTCCCGTAATGATTTAGTTTAGTTCCTGTGTAAGGCAGCTTACCTTCCCAGCTCTGTTTTAGAATCAGACATGTTACAGGTATTGTTTTATTACAGTCCTTTAACATGTCAAATCAAACACAGGAAAAGAAAAAAGCAAACCACACAAGATTTGCATTAGGACCCAAATGACTATTTTTTTTCAATTCCCTGTAAGGAAACCAAGCACCTACTATCTGATCTAACCTTGTCATTTCCCTGGGAGTTCTGTCCTGATGCTAAAGTGGACTTTATCTTCTAATGCTGTGGTGGTGTGAATAGGAATGGCCCCCATACACTCATGTGTTTGAAGGCTTGGCCCACAGAGAATGGCACTATTAGGAGGTATGACCTTGCTGGAATAGGTGTGGCTTGTTAGAGGAGGTATGTCACTGGAGGTGGGCTTTGAGGTCTCAGAAGCTCAAGTCAGTTCATTTCCTATAGCCTGTGGATCAAAATGTAGAACTCTTAGCTACCTCTCCAGTACCGTGTCTGCCTACATGCTGCCTTGCTTCCCGCCATGACAATAATGAATTAAACCTCTGAAACTATAAGCCAGCCCCAGTTAAATGTTTTCCTATATAAGAGTTGTTGTGGTCATGGTGTCTCTTCACAGCAATAGAAACCTAACTAAGACAAATGCCTGCCTAACTGAGCCCAAAAGTTGTTCAAAGTGGTATGTTCTTCAACTCAGGCTTCAGAGTCTACATATAAGCTACTTAGATTTCTCTTGCAGCCCCCAAGACCTATTCAAAGTTGGAAGGCCAAAAATGGAAAAAGACACCCTTAACTTGGCAAGTAATGAGGATTTCCAATTTGCAAAGTCTTTTATTTATAAAGATATGCAAATGTCAAACCTCTGGATAGGCTGTCCACTGGAACCATGGTGAATACTTAATTTCAAACTGTGCCCTGGTCAGAGATGAAATATGCAGATGGATGGCCTCACAGACAGGACCCAACAGCCGCACGCTTCTCCTGTAATCCAGACTTGGCCCTTATAGGTGGAGAAAATAAGTTTTAGTTCCATAGCTGTATGCCACAGGATGAAAAAAAAAAAGTCAAAATCAAATAAAAGCTTTAATTTCAAAATGCTCACAAACTCAAGCAGCTTATAATTGGACGTACAATAAATGTACTTGGAACTCAGTAGAAATGAATTGTAAAAGGCTTTACCACCAGCAGAAAATGTGTAGCTGTAGTTTTAGTTACTTGTGATCAAGCATAAAAATATCGAATTCCAGAAATAATTCATATTGTCAATTAGGTGCTATTCTGAGTAGCACGATGAGAGGCACTACACCACTCTGTCTTGTCCTTTATCCAGAGTATCCATGCTGTATATACACCTAGTGACTACTAGACCCAGGCCCTGAGATTGGTTCCAGCATCCCTGCTCACAATTTTCTTAGCTAAGCATCTCTTGACTTTTCTATCTTTTTCAGGATTCTTTTTCTCCCCTGACAACTACATTATAACATCCTCCAAGAAAAAAGAACCATGGCAGGTTTTACAGGCCCAGACATTTTCAGTGTAACGGTACTAACTGAAGGTTGGTGTACAAAGACAAGACAAACCTGATTCTGCATAGCTCACACGGTCTGTAATCGCTTTCCAGCATACTTCACCATTTTGAGTTACAATGCTATTGATATCACAGTTTTCTCTGAGTTCAAAACCAAGGTTACAAATCAAGTCATGCACTAAAGGAGAAAGGCATGTAGTAATGGACTCTCCTGTTAAAATCTGAAATATAAAATATAAAGGGCATTATTACATTCAAGTCAAAAGAAAATCCTATCTTATGTACAGACAGAACTAAGGTAGGGAAGCTGTTAATATGCTTTCTGGATACCATAAAAGCTGTATATGTCAAACAGTGCTTAGACACTAAGTATATTTTATGCGTCTGTTTCAAAGTGCAGGTTGAAACACTAGAATCGTTTCTTTAATCACCCTTGCTGACACTGGAGTTGAGGGGCTCGGTGGGTTTTCTGAACAGCTCATCATTCCTTCTGGCACTCCTTCATTATAGCGCAGTTATCAAAACCAGCGATTCTTCGCAGGAAATCTGAGAACGGAACATTTCTGTCCTTGGTATGAAACACAACGTCAGGACCATAGGCACCGAGTAGGTGTGTGGAATGATGGATTCCCGACTTGAGGCGACTGACCCTTTGCGGTTTCCACCACGCTTCCTCCCTCTCATCAAACACGGTGTTCTGTAAACTGGCTTTCCCCTGCAGCTTAGCATCCCGCTCTGGACCTGTCACCCCGCAGGGGTGAAAGGACGGAGCCTGGGTCTGGACGCAGGCCGCGCGGGAACCCCCAGCAGGCGGCCGCCCCCCTACCTCCATCGCTTCCGGCTTGGGCCGCGGCGCTCTCTGATGACTCACGCCTTTCCTCCCGGATTTCCGGGGCGCAGCGGCGTGCGGCGCTGGCTGGCGCGAGACGACTCGGCTCTCCCCCCCCCCCCCCCCCCCCCCCAGGCGTCGCGGCCGGCCCGGGGCGTTGAGCGGGTGGACCGCGGCGGGAGGCGCGGCGGCGTCTTGGGGGGAACGCATCAAAATGGATCGGCGAAGCCGAGTAACGAAGGCGTCCTCCGGCCAAGCGCCGCACCACTCCCCGGTGGCGCCTAGGAGGGAAAGGAGGCCTAGCATGTTCGAGAAGGAGGCAGTGAGTGCAGACCGCTAAGCCCGAGGCAGCTTGCCCGCCCTTTAGACCTGCCAGCGCCCGGAGGCTCAGGAAGGATGGCCGACCTTTTCCTTCTTCCGATTTTCTGACCCCTGCGGAGCTGAGTTTAGATGGAACAAGGTGGTTTAGACGTTGAAGGCCGAGGGGTTTTAGATGTTAAATTCAGAGAGCCGTGTGTTAACCAACAGAACGTTTTTACACGATCGGTCTCAGTTCTTTACAGACTTACCTCGCAAATGTCCAGAGTTATCCAATAGTTGTATTGCGCTTTCTAGATGCAATTTTAGTATATACATAGTTTACCAACCCCAAATGAGTTTATACCATATATATGCAACACACACACACACACACACACACACACACACACACACACACACACACACCCCTAGGGGGGAAAAACTGATACGTACAGATGAATAAAATCTTGTTACTTGAAGAATATTTTTAAGAGAAAAAATTGAAAATACCTAATTATTTCTCTGATATCAGTAGAAAAAGTCATCGTCCCATTTTATTGGCATTAGAACACTGGCATTTCTATATGATTGTCCTTTGAAAACCATTAATGTAATCAGAACTCCATCTTCTATTGAGGCAATAATGGAAAACATTTTGCCCAAGGATGCAGAACTGAGCTTAGAACATGTGTCCTAGGACACTTGGTATTTTTATATCTACCTCACGTGGCTCATGATTGATTGGTAGGATAAAGCTAGACATAACAGCAAAGACATAAATTTTTGAAAACTGAACTATTTGAAGATCACTCAAGAGTGATGACAACATTTTAGGTTTTAATGTCTCTTTGTGTCAGTTTACAGAGAAAAGAACAAATAGGAAAAAAGTAAGAATGCCAAGTTCACACACTCAGGAAAAAGCAGAACATTGTGCTATGTTAAAGTTTGGGTTACCAATAGTAAATAAAGATTTCTATACTTTGAGACAGACAAGAATAACTTCTATTGCCTATCTTGAAATTTGAATGAGCCTGGATTCAACATGAAAATACGTATTTAGCAAAATCTAGAAGCATGGGTACATGGACCAAGGCAGCTATTTTATATATATACATATATATGTATGTATGTCTATATAGTTTTTTTATGTATATATGTTCTTTTGTATATATGTATGTAAATTCTTAAAGTCTAGTTTTCTGAAGGTAAAAACTTTGAACAGGGCAGTGTATATGTAATTCTAAACAGTCTTATTAAATAAGAAACACAGAGCCAAATAAAGAGTTAAAAGCCCAAGAGGTCAGAGCACTAGCGAATATAGACATCCAGGTCTCTATGGTTGGTACTTGGATTAAAGGCGTGTGTCTCCATGCTGGCTGTGTCTTTGAAAACGCAGAGACCCTGCCTGATATGTGATTGGATTAAGGGCGTGTGCTACCACTGCCAGACTTCTGCTAAATGGCTTGCTATTAGCTCTGACCCCCAGGCAACTTTATTTATTAACATACAAATAAATGAATAATTTATTTGTAATAAATAATGAACCAAGAAAAGGCTTGAGGTTTATCATAATGGCAGATGCAAACTGGAGTGTCCTTCATGTATCTGTCTGAGTCTAGTTCTTCAGGTTTTTCTTCCTGTCTATGAATTACTCCCATCTTTCCAGTACATTGCATTTTTGCTTAGCAGGAGTTAGGTCTTTGCAGTCAAAGATTACAAAAACTTAGGCAGATTACTAAAAATTGACAACTTTATCAATCTCATTTAAGCACATGTATTTGAAAACCATAAACATTAGCAAATAAATAGCACTTTTGCTAAATAATTAAATATCTCATTGGAATAATGACACGAGGAAGCTCAGTTTATTCTAAGTCCATGTAGATAAATGCCAGCCAGTAGCTTGTATCGATAACAAATTTGGTGGCATTTAAAAAGATGATAAAGGTTTCATCTCAGCTGAAAGAATAAAGTACTTTTAATAAGAGTATGCTGTAGCATGAATCTTAAAAGTTCTTATTAATAAAAACAAACCTGAACCAGGTATTGGGGTAAACGCTGAAAGATCAGAGAAGCAGAACAAGCCACAGCTACCTCACCTCGCCAGTTCCTCAGCTGATCCTGTTTGCTCAGACTGGAAACCTCTGAGTCCTCATCCAAAATGAATCTCAGCTGAACTGCTTCTTGAAAGCCTGAATGCTTAACCAGCCAAAAGCTTCTAGTTTCTGGTCTTCACGCCTTATATACCTTTCTGCTTTCTACCATCACTCCCTGGGATTAAAGGCTCACTTTCTGGGATTAAAGGCATGAGTCACCATGCTTGGCTGTATTCTTGAACAAATGGATTTCTGTCTCTGGAATGCTAGGATTAAAGGTGTGTGCTACCACTGCCTATCCTCTATGTTTAATATTGTGGCTGTTCTGTCTCTGACCCCAGATAAGTTTATTAGGGTGCACAGTATTTTGGGGAACACAATACCACCACACCTGAGACCTAATCAGAAGATCTAGACTACAGGTAGGTGGTGGTGGTGCACGCCTTTAATCCCAGCACTGGGGAGGCAGAGGCAGGCAGATCTCTGAGTTCGAGGAGGCCAGCCTGGTTTATAAAGTGAGTTCCAGGACAGCCAGGACTGTTACACAGAGAAACCTTGTCTTGAAAAACTTTAAAAAAATAAACTACATCTTTTTCTCACATGCATTACAACCACATTACTGGAGGCCTTTTACAGAAGTTCTGACACTATGAGTTGGTCTGGCTATCAAGAAAAAATTACAAGGCATACTGAATGGTAAACACCCCAAAGAGAGCAAGCAAGAACCATACATTACAGGAATAAAAGTATCAATAGAAATATCCAAAACAAATGAAAAAAGAACACAGATTGAAAAAGAAGAGGAGAATGTTTGGAAACTTTGAGGCAGTTATAGAAGTTGTAAATTATTCATAATGGAAATCCCAGATAGAGAATGGATTATAAAAAATATTATAAGACCTATGAATTAGAGGCTATTCCACAGTGCCAGGAAGGTCAGAGAACACAGCAGAAAACAAGCCAAAACAAAATTTATATGTAGGCATATAGTCTCAAGCTACAGAAATTAAAGATGAAGAAAATCCAAAAAGAAGCCAGAAGACAAAACATACTACCTATAAGAGAAAATTACATTCATATTCTCAAAAATAATGAAGAATAGAGTGAAGTAAAAGTATTCAGAGAAGAAAAGTGACAACTTAGGGTATTTATTTATTTTATATGCATTGGCATTTTGCCTGCATATGTATCTGTGTGAGGGTGTCCGGACCCCTGGAACTGGAGTTACAGACAGTTGTGAACTGCCATGTGGGTGCTGGGAATTGAATCCAGGTCTTCTGGAAGAGCTACCAGTGCTCTTAGCCACTGAGCCGTATCTTCAGCCCCAACATCTTGGGATTTTATACCCTCCAAAACTACTCTCAAATGAGGAAAAAAATGATATTTTTAGACAAAATAATGGAAGAATTGTATCTTCAATAAATCTGCCTTACACAAAATGTTAACAATTTTTTTAATAAAAAGGTGACAAATTTGAATCTACATAAAAGAGCATCAAAGAAAAACTAAATAAAGGTTAATTTAAAAACCTTTAATGTTCCTCTTTTTATTCTAACAGATAATAATTCGTTAAAAATAACAGGAAAGAAATAAAATTTTTGCATATGAATGCATGTTAAATGTGTGTGTTAATGTGTATGTGTTCTAGGTAAGATGAATGGCAGCATGACAAAAAGAACGGGAGGAAAGAATTTGAGTTATTTCATTATTTTAATTGATGCTATCCATGAAGTGTGACAGTGTTAGTTGAAAGTGGGTTGGATTAGCTGCATATGCTTATTTCCAAACTTTAGGGTTAAGAGAGGAAGTAGAGGAGGTGGAGGAAAAATAAGTAACACACTAAGAAATTGAGAAGAGGAATCATATGAAATGCTCAGTTTAAATTACAGTAGGAAAGAATGGAAGGCAAGAAAACAAAGAACAAGGGCATCGAATAGAAGAGAGTAACAAATATGATAGATATTAATCCAGTCATCCCAAAAAATCACTCTGAATGTCGTTTAAAAACAGCAGTTGTTAGAGTGGATTAAACTAAGACTCAATTGTGTTAGTCTTAGTTTAAACCTTACAACAATAAGGTTACTTAAAATACACATACATAAAAGGAGATGGGTGGAGAAAGACACACTAATATCAAAATTAAGTAGGAGCAGCAATAGACTTCAGACAGAGCAAAAATCAAAGCAAGTAAAGTCATCAGTAATGAAGTAAGGCATTGCATAATGAGGATGGAGCCAGTTGTCTGGGAAAACATATCAGTTCTTGCAAATATACAACTAGTGATATGGCATCAAAATATGTGAGAGAAAAATGTATAGGTTTAAAGGATCAATATACTAACATTATGGTGGGAAATTTCAGTAATATATCTGTCAAAAAAATGGACACTGCTGGATCTGGCTCTTGAAGAACATCTTCCTACCATGCATGAGGCCCTAGGTATAATCTCCAACCCTAGAATTTTTTTTAACTTTCAGCAAATTTTATTATAAAAACTTGCAAATAACAAATATCATGCACTGAAATTAACCAGTTCCAAAGTCTATATACCTCAGTGAACTTCTATGAAGTTAGAATAGTATACAAATATATGTACACAAGTTTATGTGTGTCTTAGTTACTTTTCCATGTATCTACTAGAGTATACACTACCACCTGATGGTAAATAAATTAATAAATGTAATTAAACTAAAAAGAAAACTAATAGCCCTTATGAATATTAATGCAAAAAAAACAAACACCCTAGAAAAAGCATTAGCATCAGTATTCAATTCAAAGAATTATACACTGACCAAGTTTTCCTGAATGCAAAGATAGGTCATCATATAAAAGTCTACCAATGTAGTAGTACATACAATGAAGTAGTATCCATTGATAAGAAAAATAATTTTTGTCAAAATTTACCCTTTCATGATAAAAATACTGAATAAAACAATAACTGGAATTATTAGAACATTAAAAGTCATTGTATTAAAAGCCCATAGCCAACATCATATTCAGTGGTAGAAGACTAAAAATTTGTCCTCTAATAGGACTAAGGCAAACATGTCTATTCATCACTTCTAGTCAACATGAAACTGCAAATTCTAGCCAAGCAACAAAAAAGACATTCCTGATTATTAAGAAAATGAAGTTTGCCACTTTAAATTAAGGGACTAGAAAATTACTCCAGGAACTACTGTAGTGTTGTCCAATGTTTTGAAACTGCTGCATGACATTGTCACCTACAGATGTGCTGCATTATATTCACAGTGTTCATAGCCTGGGGTACATGCAGTCCACCAGTCAGTCACAGGTTGGATACACCTATAGGGCACTAAATAATTATTTTATTAGTACAAATTGGATACTTCTGAAGGGAGCATCATGTCAAAAAATTACATGTCAAAAATGGACTGATACATATAAAATATGTTTACACACAAATATTTATATGCTTTTGTTATCTTTTCAAGTTAAGATTTATAAATGTGTTACCTAAATCTATTACTTATGTAAAGATAACTAAAAGTATGGGTAATAGTTCCATAATTGCAGGTAGGAGGGAAGCATGAAAAGTTGTTTTATCTTTATCCCTCAGCCACTCTCTGGAGGCTACTCTTGTTTCTGGTCCTTTTGGATATTTTGTAGGTATTCTGAATACGTGTACACAAGTTTGTATATTTCTGTATGTCTTGGTTACTTTTCCTGTTGCTGTGATAAATAACCTGACAAAAGTGGCTTAACAGAGAAAGAGTTTGTGCTTGCCTCATGGTCCCAGGGTACAGTCCACCAAGACAGGTAAGTCACGGCAGCAGGGGTCTGAGGTGGCTGATCACATTAAATCCACACTCAGGAGGCAGAGAGTAGTGATTACTTGTGCTCAGCACACTGTCTCCTTTTTATGCAGTTCAGGATCCCTTTCTAGGGAATGGTGCCTCCTATAGTGGGTAGGTCTTCTCATTTTAGTTAATCAAATCAAAATAATCCTCTATAGGCAAGTCCAAAAGCTCATCTCTCAGGTGGTTATTTAGTCTCAAATTGATGATAGAAACTGTTAATAATTTACAGTTAATAGTCAAAGATTTAGTGACTGCATAGAAGTCTGCCTAGATTATTTCAGGTTTGTTAGCTCTGCCTCCACTGTATGCATATTCTTAAAGTCTGAAATGTAATCTTTCTCCCTTTCTCTTTCAGTATGCACAAATCTTAAGAGAAAGATTGAGAGAATCTTTTCATGATGTTCAGTATGTGGAACCTCCATTTGACGATTCAATTGCTGATATAGGCAAAGAATGGAAGAGTGCCCTGGCAAAATTAAAGTTTGCTAATTCATATAGAATGGAGCCATTGAGGAAATTCCAAGCACATCCAGTAGAAACTAAAATCCAGCAGATATTAAAGGTAATCAGGGACCAAGGATATAGCTCAGTGATATACGCTTGTCTGGCACATATGAGACCATTGAGACTATTCTTTTTTTTTTTTTTTTTTTTTTTTTTGGTTTTTCGAGACAGGGTTTCTCTGTGTAGCTTTGCGCCTTTCCTGGGACTCACTTGGTAGCCCAGGCTGGCCTCGAACTCACAGAGATCCGCCTGGCTCTGCCTCCCGAGTGCTGGGATTAAAGGCGTGCGCCACCACCGCCCGGCCATTGAGACTATTCTAAGCCAAAATAAGTCATATGATCATATCTATTAGGAAGTCATATGTGTGTATGTATGTGTGTGTGTGTGTGTGTGTGTGTGTGTGTGTGTGTGTGTGTGTGTGTATTCACTATAGGGACTGACCTTAAAAATATAAAGGCTAAATGATCCTACAATTCTGAGTAGTTGTTGAATTCAGTGTGAACCTAAAGGGAAAGATAACCAAGTTCCCTGTAAACTAAATTCTGACATGGGGCTGTGTTGCTAGATCCTAACTGCTCCCTCAGGGGAGGAGGTGAGAAGGTATGGCATCACCAGATACCAGGAGTCAGTTGAAGGCAGACAGCAAACTTGTTTATTTAATAACAGGGAAGGACTTATATATCCTCCTCCCCGCACCCAGTCTGTGTTGCAATCTGGTGGCATTTCGTGATCATCCCTCATTGGCTGGATATGATCAGGAACTCCAACAACACCTGTTGCTAGGCCCTCAGGCAGACTCCAGGTTGCTCATAAGGAAGTACATTATGTGCATGCCTTGGCAACTGGTCTGAGCCAATTTCCTCGACCCTGTGGGCCTCTCCTACTACAGGGCTGGATAGCTGGTACACCTCAGATAGGACAAGAAAGGTGCATTTCTGGCTTTGCTAGCTGAAAGCAAACTGGTTTTAGTGATTCTTATGGATAGGTATGGAGAAAAAGGCATTTTTTTTTCCATGACAGTAACTACATAAGTGGTACCAAAAGGTTTTGTTCAAGCAGTGAAACCATGTCCCATACAGCAGCTGCAGTTGTAGATGCTGCCTGGCCAAGTCTACAGAACAGCCAAACAGATGGATTGAAAGAGGCCGTGGTAACAATCACAATGGCAGTGCTTTATACAGCCCCTTCATGATACCATATATTTTTGAGTAAGGTAGATCTAATTCTAAATGTTTCCACTGTAAGTTTTCTTCAATAAAAGCTCTTACTTCACAGGTAAAGGACCCAATGTGGATATTCTGCCAGCTGCTAAGTATATCTATTCTGATCATGCTAATTCCATAACTGACTCAGGATGGGTTGGAGAACCTGATGTTTGCTATGTGAAATGGACTTGAGTTCACACTCCATCAATCAACTTATGGGTCCCATTCTCAACCTGTATGACCAGGAGCTCAGTTTGCATCTGCATGCTGAGGGTCAACATTTGTTTTCCAGCAGCTGCAGTCCCTTAGCTACAGGAGATCTCTCTCTCTCTCTCTCTCTGTGTAGGTTTCCACATCACCTAAAATTAAACTGCTATAAGGCAAATGGAGAGAAAAGCAAACTTTAGTCACTTTTACCTATACACAGAAGACTTCATGCAGAAAACAAAGGCATGGAAAGGTGGAGTCAAGCTCTTAATACTAGTTGGGATACAGAGTAGAAAATTTGAAAGTATGATTAAAGGTGTTTGGGCTGAGGCAGGTAACCCCAGGAAGGTGCCTAGTAAAGTAAGGCTGGTTGAAGAAGTGGTGTGCCTCTTTCCTCTTGCGTCTCTGGTACTGGAGAGGACCCTTTTCATGAGAGCTTTATCTCCTACTTTCAGGAAGAAGAAGGAAGAGCAAGCTACTGCATCCACAATTTTTTCAAGTACTTTTGGGTCAAAATTATGAGAAAGCAGCATATTTTAACATAGCATATTCTGAACCTTCCATCTCTCCATTGTTAACTATGTATTTCAAATTTATTGATATTTGGCAAAGATATTATAGCTTATGGTTTGGGAAAAGAATTCTGATCAACACTAATAGTATGTGTGATATAAGAGGGTATATTTTTGGTCTGTCACTTGACCCTACCACATAAACAAAATTAAACACAATTGAATAAATGGGCTAGGGATGAACCTCATTTTCAGAAGCCGCCCCTGGGTCCTGAGGCCAGAGTTACAGTCAGAATATGGTGTTGGAGAGACTCCTAGACAGACAAGCAATGTGTTGGGTTTTCTCTGAGAGAAGACTGACCTTGAATTTGAGTTAGATTCAGAAGAAAGCAGCTGATACTCAGTATTGGGACAATAGATAGAAGACCAGATGCAGGCCTTAGACCAGCTGTATAAATGGAAGGAACCTATCAGGGAGCCAATAGGAGAAGTTAGGAGGGAGAAGTGAGGAAAGAGGGTAGAACTAGCAGGGTGCAGGAGCATTGAGGGAGGACATCTACTTGACTTTTTATTCCTATGAAGTTGATTGATAGTAGTCCATTTGTTGTCACTGGAACTTAGTGTGCAGTCCTGGGCATACTCCCAGGAAACCAGTTAATCAAACACTTTGTGATCCACTCCTTCATAGTTTTAGCTTTGCTCACAGTTTGTAAGAAAGGCTCCTGAGATGAAGACATGGCTCAGTGGTTAAGAGCACTGGCTGCTTTTCCAGAGGATCCACATGGTGCCTCACAACTATTTAAAACTCCAATTCCAGGAGATCCAACACCCTCTTCTGGCTTCCTTTGGCACCAGGCACACATGTGGTGCACAGACATATATGCAGGCAAAACATTCATACATTTAAAATAAATCTGATTTGTTTTTAATGAAAGGCTCCTGCTCCATGGTCTGTGAGCCATGTCTCTTTTCCTCACATGTGTTAGTTTATTAGTAAAGATGCTAAGTTGTTGATGCCATAAGGAGTGAGAGACCCAGAGAAGACAGTGACATGGTGACAAGCGACAGCCACTTTGGTCCAGATCACACCTACATTGGAACATGCCATCATAAGCACACAAGGTTTCCTTTCTTTACTATCAATTTCCAGAAAGCTTTTGAAATTCTTTTTTCTCTCTAGTGAGAAATGGAAACTGGGTTATTTACAGTAAGTTGACAGAGTAACCTCATAAGCAGAAACTTACAGCCCAAGTGTTGATCATGAACGGCGTTTGAATCTAAATTTTTAAGGCAGAGTTTCACTATCGTAGCTTTGGTTGGCCTGAAACTTACTGTATAGGCCAGGCTGGCCTAGAACTATAGAGAGCCATGTGCCCTGGCCTCCTGTGCGCTGGAATTAAAGGCATGTGCCACCAAATGTGGCTTTTGACAATTGGACATAATTTTGAAAACAATTAAATTGGTAAGTATAATATATGGTAATTTTCAGGAATACATGTATTTTAAAACAGCTGTATGTATTATTTAGATACATGTTTTCTACTTATATAAAAACATTTTTTTTTAAAAAATTGAAACTTTTTTCTTAACTTTTTTTAAAGGACAGTCTTAAAGATCTCAAATATGATGAAAAAGCCTTCTCTCATATATCACTTGACTTGGCAGATCGAGTATTGGCAGCAGTCAAAGAATTGGGGTACTACCGTTATAAATTCATTATAAAAGTATTATTTATTCAAAAGACTGGTCAAGCAATAAATGTAAGTGCCCCGATGACCTAACATCCATTCATTTGAGATTTGAGGTGTCCCCAGGGACGTAGAGATCCTGAAGGGCCACTTGAATACCAAGATCATTTTGTTAAAAAAAAACAAACTGTTTTTCATTGCAAATTATTAGAAAAGTACTAGCCTAGAAATACAATTTTGCTATCAATAATTTACTAGATTACGTAGCCTGTTTCTTGGTCATAGCAATTTTGATCATTTTTAAAATTTTTTACTTTATGTGCATTGCTGTTTTGCCATGGGTGTTGGGTCCCTTGGAAAAGGAATTACAGACAGTGGTGAGTTGCCATGTGGGTGCTGGGTATTGAACCTGGGTCCTCTGGAAAAGTAGTCCCTCCTCTTAACTGCTGAGCCATATCTCCAGCCCTGAAATTTTGATAATTTAAATGTCATTTAAATTAATTAACCAGTAAGCCAGGTGTAATGGTACACACTTTAAATCCCATCACTCAGGAGGCAGAGGCAGACGGTTCCCTGTGAGTTCAAGGCCAGCCTGGTCTACATAGTGAGTTCCAAGACAGCCAGGGCTGCATAGAGACACCTTGTCTCAAAAACATCAAAAAAATATTAATCGCCGGGCGGTGGTGGCACACGCCTTTAATCCCAGCACTCGGGAGGCAGAGCCAGGCGGATCTCTGTGAGTTCGAGGCCAGCCTGGGCTACCAAGTGAGTTCCAGGAAAGGCGCAAAGCTACACAGAGAAACCCTGTCTCAAAAAAAAAACCAAAAAAAAAAAAAAAAAAAAAAAATATTAATTAACCAGTAAGTTTCATTTAGGCATGTTAGGTAATGAAGAATGTTATATTTATATTATGATATTGTTATTAATGTATGATTTTTTAGGGATGAACAAGAAAGGAAAGGGTATGACTTAACAGTGATATGTTTATGTGTCATGTTGAAAAGACTCAATTGTGCTTTCTAGTTTTATGTCAACTTGGCACAAGCTAAAGTCATCAGAGAGGAAGGAACCTCATTTGAAAAAATGCCTCCATAAGTTCTGAAGTCTGTAGGGCATTTTCTTAATTAGTGATTGATGTGGGAGACTCCAGCTCATTGTGAGTGGTGCCACCCCTGGACCAGTAGTCCTGAGTGCTGTAAGAAAGCAGGCTGAGCAAGCCAGTAAGCCACTTCTCCATGGCCTCTGAATCAGCTTCTGCCTCCAGTTCCTGTCACAAAGAATGTGTGGCCATTTTGGATTCATGACAGACAGTAAACCTTGTCCTTGGAGGCATCACAAAGGAGTCATGGCCTCAACAGCACCACACTCAGCACCATTGCTGCTAGACAAGACCCTAACAAGCTTTTGGCTGAAGATTTTTAAATGTGGGTCTGTAGTCAGTGGTACTAGGCTCCATGACAGAGCCCTTGGTTCCTGCCTAGGATTCACTGTAAGGCAATTACCAGCCTCCAGCAAAGGAGAAAGCCAAGCAGTATTACTCTTGAATCTCTCTATGAAAGGGAAATTGGGCATACCCTTAAAAAATACTTTTTTTTTTTTTTTTTTTTTTTTTGGTTTTTCGAGACAGGGTTTCTCTGTGTAGCTTTGCGCCTTTTTCCTGGAACTCACTTGGTAGCCCAGGCTGGCCTCGAACTCACAGAGATCCGCCTGGCTCTGCCTCCTGAGTGCTGGGATTAAAGGCGTGCGCCACCACCGCCCGGCAAAAAATACTTTTTAATCATGTGTGTGCTTGGGGAATGGGGGTGTGCTCATGAGTGAAGGTCCATGAGGAGGCCAGAGGTGACAGATTTCTCTAGAGGTAAGAGTTACAAGGTAAGGTGGTTGTAAGCCATCTGATGTGGGTGCTGGGAATTGAACTTGGCTCTTCTGGAAACAATACATGCTCTTAGCTGCTGAGCCATCGCTCCAACCTCTTGATTTTCCTCATAGTGCTAGGATGGAACTGAGGGCTTTGAGCACACTAGGCAGGTGTGTATAATTTGAGTTACCCCACCCAGCCTAACAAATTATTTCTTTAAATACAACTTTCTGAGACATTGGCACAATATTTAAAAAATCTAACTATGTAATTTAAAAGTTACTTAACATATCCCATCTGAATCTTTTAAATTTTCTCTCACAGATTGCCAGCAGATGGATCTGGGATGTGGCATGGGACAGCTGGGTACAAGCTAAACATGAAACAGAGACCTACGTGGCATTGGTTTTGGTATTTGCTCTCTATTGTGAATAGCTCAGGACTAAAACAGTTTCACACACACCCCCTTTCAAAATAAATCACATGTACAGATTTGTTAGCCTCATGTGTTATCTTACAAACAATTAAAAGCCAGTTATATTTATTTACTAACAGTGTATTACCCCCAAATAGTAGGAAAGGTAGGTATGGATTTTTATAGATTCCAATACAGAGGGATATTTATTCTTTTTAGATTTAAGAAAATTAGGTAGCCAGGCATGGTGGCATGAGCCTTTAATCTCAGCACTTGGGAGGCACAGGGAGGTGGATCTTTGTAAGTTCCAGGCCAGCCTGGTCTACATGTTGAGTTCTGGGCCAGCTTGGTCTACATAGTGAGTTCCAGGACAGCCAAGGGCTACATGAGAGCCTGTCTCAGAAAATAAAATAAAATTAGGACTTGCCATAGGAAATTAACCTGAAGTCCCAAGTAATGTAAATGCAGGATACATTTTGGAAAACTTACAAGGACAGATGCATTTTGAGTGGTGTTTTAATATTTCATATTTGTTCTTTTGAAAGGAATCCCTAAGCTTAAAGGAAAGATCTTTAAGTATTAGTGCTTTCTTATCTAAATTCCTCCTTCTCCATTCAAAATACAAATGAGTGGCTTTTCCACTGAGTGGTCTGTTAGGCTCATTTAGATACAAGAACTGAAAAACCCCAAATAATTATTTAAAGAAAAATGCATTTCCCAGGAATGTGATAAGAATCCAGGCTTTCTGTCATCTGACTCTGGTTTAACTTGTTGGATTTTTTTTTTTTTTTCCGAGACAGGGTTTCTCTGTGTAGCTTTGTGCCTTTCCTGGAACTCGCTTTGTAGACCAGGCTGGCCTCGAACTCACAGAGATCCGCCTGGCTCTGCCTCCCGAGTGCTGGGATTAAAGGCGTGCACCACCACCACCCGGCTAACTTGGTGGAATTTAATCACATTTCCATGACTGGGCTGGAATCTACTGTGACTTACAAGAGAATGGAAAGAGTGGGTCTGATGTCCACACTGGGATATCTACCAAGGGTTGTGTAGGCTTGAGGGAGTAGCTCGTGGTGTGGTTTAGCAGTAGAGTGTTTGCCTGGAATGCTGAGGCCCTGGGTTTCATCCCCAGCAACCCCCTTCCAACAATAGAGTTCAGTACTTCAGCATGAAAACTTGGGACGCAAGCAGTCACTCCAGGGCAGTGTTGCCAAGTGGAGAGGGTAGAGGTGGAGCACAGCTCGGCAAAGGGCTTGGTACTGGCTTCAGTGTAGCTCTTGGAGAAGAAGAACTGGAGAGTTCTTAGTGATGGGAGATGGTAATGGTCAGAATGTACACAAGACACTGGGAGTGTTAGAGAGAGCAGACACTTTACTGCAAGACTGACTTGGTGCCCTTCCCCAAACGCCACCAGACCACTGTGACTTCTGTAGCAACGCAACCACTGTCCTTAAGGAACTGTAAAGGTCAAATACCTTGAATGTTACATAAATGTTTACATTGGTTATTATAAGAAATCTGAACATCTCTTGGGCGGACTGCCTGCTTCTCCAGTTTTTATGGTGAGAGAAAGGGAAAGGGAGGAAGGAGATAAGGAAGAGAGAGAAGGGAGAAGAGGAGCAGGAAGGGGTGCATCTTTTGTGTCTTCTGACTTTCATAAGGATGTTGATCCCATTGTGGAAGCCCCGTCCTCATGTCCTCATCTGAATCCTCATCTGAGGACCCTGAGTCCTCCCAAAGGCCTTACTTCCAAGCAGTATCACGTTGAGGTTTAAGGCTTCAGCATATGAATTTTGAAGGGAAACAACAACAATAGTAACTCTACATAGTAAGCATACTGGTTCTTTGAAAGCCTGTCAATAACTGGTCAGTGCCCAGTGGGGATTCTGTTTCCTAGTTTGTAGACTGACAGCAAATGCAGCTCTGTTTTTTCCTACTTCTGCAGTGAGAAAACAACAACAACACATGATGTTGTATAAATGTGGATCATCTTTTAATACCAAAGCAAGGGGCTGGAGCGGTGGCTCAGCAATTAAGAACACATACTGCTCTTGTAGAGGACCCAAGTTAGGTGCTTATCACTCAAGTTGGGTGGCTCATAACATCTGTCACTAAGCTCTCTGGCCTCTGTAGGCACCTGCGCTCACACACCTTCCCCTTACACACAATTAAAAACAGTAAAAAAAGCTTTAAAACAAAACAGGATCTCTTATTGGCCCAAGACTTGATGGTTAGCCTGGCTGGATCCACTTTTCCACCTCACCAGCACTGGATTACAAGTGTGCCACCATCATGCCTAATTTTTTTTTTTAATGTTCTTCTGGGAATTGGACACAGGTCCTTGTGTTTACAAGGTAAACACTTTACTATCTCTCCAGCCTTTAAATTCTTGATTTTAAACAAGTTATTCTCATGCAGTCCTTTTCTGTTGTAGCTACTCCAGTTTAATTATCCAACTTATTGGTCCTTTTTATTGCTTATAGCTTTCTCATCTTCATTGATCAAATTATATTTCATGGCCCACCGGTGTAGTCAATTCTCTAGAAACATTCTAAATTTCTTTGTTCTGTTTCCTTGTTTGGGAAAACAACTTCCTGAATGAAGTGGTTACTCAGTTTTGTCCATATCTAAATCTAAGTAGCGACTGTGTCAAAGAACACCATAAAGTCAGACAGTTTCCTTCAGTCCCAAGTGGGACATCCTCACTTGGCTTCGTAGAAGTTTTCTTTCCTACTCTCTGGCACTCACTCCTTTCTTAAACTTACTATGGATAGGCCTTTTCCTTTGCTTTCAGCTGCTGATCTTAAAGAGGCAACACAAGGCTTCTGAGGAGAAACTTTGGGCTTGCTCCCATGTCTGGCCATACCTGCTGCTCACTGTCTCCTGTAATGGCGATTGTTCCAAGGCCCCATCCTTTTACCTCCTTACAGGTTGCCTTCCAATAGCATCACTTTCTCTGTTGCCATGGCTTCCCCCTTTCTAAGGTCATACAAACGTGTGTCTCTGCCCCCCAAACTACCACCTCTGCACTTACTTCTGTACTAGAACTCCTCTGGGTTGTCTTCCCCCACTCCCTCCAATCCCTAGCCCTCCTATAACTTTCTTTCATTCACTTCAACCTAGTTTCTGGAACCACCACTCTACTAGAACTTCTTCAAAAATTCAAGTTAGCTAATTATTCCCCAACTTCTAAATTGACCACTCTTTCTGAAATGCTTTTCAAGGTTTCTAATACTTGAAAGTTTTTTTTTTTCTTCATCTTACTGCCAAAAGTCAGGTGCCTCTAGATTGGGGCTTTTTTCTAACCTATAGCTACATACTTTACTGGGCCTCATAAGGCTTATAACCCCCAACTTTTCCCCCATGTGCCAGTGTCTGGGAGCTGAGTATAGTGACCAGCAAGGCAGCTTTATTTGGTGAATAAATGAAAGATTCCGTAGATTCCCATCACTTGACACAGTTCTTGGCTCGCGGTATGCAGGCAGTTGGGTACCATTATTCTTCACTTCCAAGTGAGGAAATGGAGGGCCAGAGAGGTTAAATTTACCTCTAACCCTTGTCTTCTCCATATGCCGTTGTCTGTCTTTCACTCCTAACTCCTGTGTCATTTGCACTGTTCTCAAGCCAAATTAGAATAAAGGATGGACCTTAACATACTTCCTGTTTTCCAATTGTTATCCCGTTTCCATCTTGAAACATGTGGTACTTAATCTCAATTGTATACTTGATGAGACTCTAGGATCATCTAGAAGATTGGACTTTTGAACACCTGTGAGGGATTATCTAGATTAGTCTCTGGACACGCTTGTGGGGAGAATAGCTTAATTAGATTGAGTTGGGAAGACAAGGTCACTGTGGGTAGCACCATACCCTGGGATAGGATCCTGGACCACACAGGAAGCAAAGAGTGAGCTGAGTGCATTCATTCATCACTCTCTGCACTCTGTGCATGATGTGCCTACTGGACTGAGCCAGAGAAACCCCTTCTCCCATAATTGCTTTGTCAGAGTATTTTTATCACAACAGGAAAGAAACAGAGACAAATCCCAATTTCCATGTTACATCTCCCTGTATTTGTCCTTGTTTCTTAACTTTCAAGTTTTATAACATTAAAATCTTTTGTTTCGTTTTTATTTGCAAGTAAGCGCTCTCCCATCTAAGCTGCCCTTAAGTTCAATTATATATTTGTGTATTGCTTTAGCTTGAAGTTGCTGATCTATAGGGCAAACACCCTCATCTATGGCACTCCCTTCACCTCTGCTTTGTGCAAGTGAAGGCCCAGTCTGTATTTGTTGACTTCATCTTTCGCCTGCACGCACTATGCGTAATTCAGATGGGGAGAAAGGTGCTGGTGTTCCTGTCAGGAGTTAGAAGTCATCCATGAGGTCTCTCAGACTCTTGCATGCTGTGAACCACCCTGGTGATGAAAGGGAACTAGAATTCTAAAATCCAGGAGCCTTCTGCTAGATCACCACCACCTTCCAGGTTATCTACCTGGTCCTGTACTCCCTCTGAGAAGAGGTGGGGAGTCGTGTGTGTGGGGGCTCTCTGCCCCTCCTTTGTCCTCTGGACCTTCCATGCTCCTCTGTACTCCTTTCAAAGGCCGGGAGGAACTTTCAAATGCCATGGGGAAGTCCAACAGGTAAATTAGAAACCCTAGCCAAACACCATGGTCCCATTTCCAGGACCTCCCAGTCTTGTGTCCTTCAGGTGCTTATGGGCTCAGCCAGTCTCGTCATGTGGTCTTGGGGACCGCCACCTATGTTCTCCTGGACTGTCTGGGTCAGCCCAGCTAGAAAGCCGCTCTGACTTTTCGCGTGGCCATTAGGGCCACTGTCCCAAGGTCGCAGCAGCAGAAGCAGATGTGAAAACAAAGGAGCCAAGGGCGCCTTGGGGATCCTGGGATGTGCAGGGTGAAGATGGAGAGGTGGGGTGGAGAAGGGGAAAGGACAGAGGGTGGAGGAAGAGGAAGGCAGGGAGCGGGAATCTCACAAGGGGCGGAGGCGGGGCCCCTGAAACGGACGACCCTCAGGGCCGGGGAGGGATGAGGTAGCGGAGCGGGGACACCCATCCTTCATTC